TTTTATTTCTTTAAGAAGTAATTTTACATGATTTTACAGAAACTGTTTCAGTACAACAATGATGTGTCATTTTGACTCTAGTGACATGAACTAGTCTATATTGTTAACATGTTAGGAAGACATCAATTTCTATTTCACAATCTATAAGCGATCATTATACTATTGACTTCTGTACAAATAGTGAGTTCCAGGTTTTGTAATTTTTTTCTGATATTTAGGTAATAAAGAACTACATCAATGTGTGGGAATCGGTCTTTTAGGCCGTGATGGTACAAGGTATCTTGATGTTGGAAGGTACAGAGAAAGACCGACACTGAAAATTGAGACACCCAACTATTTCTTCAAATGATGCATTAAGTTGACTGACAGATTTAACCAATTATCAGGAACAAAAAAGTAATTCCTAAACCAATGTAGATCATTAAAAATAGCTATAATTTTTCATAGTAATTTGTGTTTTAACACCTCATTTATTTTACAATAATTGTGAAACAAAGTAATAGTTTATAGTTATCACAATCTTTAGCACATATTGAAGCACATATGGGGTCTTATTGAAATACTTAGGTAAAACCCTGTACCTTTTTACATTCAAATTAAACCTCGGAGAAAGGCCAGTGTTTTACAACTGCATCGCCTTGTCCGCTCGATATCAACTAATCTTTTATTAAAACATTAATACATGCATCTTGATACATCATGAATTTTTTCAACTGCAGATGTGACAGCAGTTCAAATTTTTGTTCAGAATTACAAAGGGTACCTCTAGAGCATTTATCAGTTTTGTAGTATGTTGATATAGACTATATGTTGATATAGACTATCTTTGTTTTCCTATCAGTCTTAACATTACACATAAACAAAAGGGACCAAGGAAAACTGACATAAACTTCAGCAAGATCCATCCATAAATTCTCAGAAAAAAATATCAAACTTTAACCAGCAAAATCCAAGATGGCTTCTTGTTGGTAATTTTACTTTTCCAAACAGTCTCAATATTGAACATGAAAATTGTATGACTAAGATCCACCCAGGGCTTGATTAAAAAGTTTGTCAAATATATATATGGGCTCCTCCTGTCCGCCATTTCATTGGCCTGAATATCACAGAAAGAGTATTCCAGTACTGCCTGAATGAAATTGATAACAAAGGCAGACTGATAGACCATGAGTGACTTGAACGGCCATAGTACCATCAAACAAGCCACCGCTGATCATGGGCTTAAAATTTCCTTTAAATATCTATTATCAGTAATGATAGTCCTATATACATGAAGCCGTAATTATTTCTTATCAGGAGTTTCAAAGCCAACAAAGATATTCAAGCAATTAAAAAAAAAGACACCTTGCCAATTCAATGTTACATATATTACACTCTAGTGGTTCCATTTATGCTCATACAGCTCCACTTGATTGACTTTTATACATAATTTGGGAATGTACTTTGTTCCATCTGAAGCAAAATTCTACATCTGAATACCTTTACTCTATAAAAGTTATTCTCCAAATGCTCTTCTATTGCTATACAATAAGACAAGCTGATAGCTTAGCTACTGATTATAATTAGTATTTTTTCATACTTTTTTCTTTATTTTGAAAAAAAATCTTGTGTCTAAGATTGACATTAAATATGATTGCATAACTTTTGACATGATAAGGTAGCTTTTCCAATAATTCTGTATGATCTCACTGAAACAGAATGCTACACTTTATAAAAATATTTACTCCTAAATAATGGGACAATCGACAATAACTTTAATTTTTCACTATGTAAGCTGTATAATTGTTTAACATCTGTAAGAACATAACGCAAGTATTTTGATCGGGTAATATGTCTGCCAAACTGATCAGACAATAAGCATGCTATATAGAACTGTTTATACAACTTATGATAAACTTACACATTACATCATATCACCATGTTAGCCATATTTATGCAGTAATTTACCTACACAGATATAAATCATTATGAATTAGTATCCATTTCTTCCTGGTACCTATATAATTATACTTTCTGTCCAAACTTAATGCCTACAAACACACCCAATCTAGCAGACCCTGATTGTGTGATTGGTGAAAAGTTTCCAACATATTCATATGGGAACACATTTCTACTATAGGGATGTCTTACAAGTATTCTTAAACAAACTGTTTCTCACTTAACTTACTGTCATACATCTCAAAGTGTTTCTTAGTAATATGTTTAGTGTGACCACATGAACTGATCCCAATGCCATTGAAACTAATTTACAGTCCAAAGGAAAGTGATCCCTAGTCCACAGTCCACAGGACCCTGATCCCCAGTCCACGGGACACTGATCCCGAGTCACAGGACCCTGATCCCCAGTCCACAGGACACTGATCCCCAGTCCACAGGACACTGATCCCCAGTCACAGGACACTGATCCCCAGTCCACAGGACACTGATCCCCAGTCCACAGGACCCTGATCCCCAGTCCACAGGACACTGATCCCCAAGTCCACAGGAAAGTGATCCCCAGTCCAAAGGTCACAGGACACTGATCCCCAGTCCACAGGACACTGATCCCCAGTCCACAGGACACAGATCCCCGGTCCACAGGAAAGTGATCACCAGTCCACAGGACACTGATCCCCAGTCCACAGGACACTGATTCCCAGTCCACAGGACACTGATCCCCAGTCCACAGGACACTGATTCCCAGTCCACAGGACACTGATCCCCAGTCCACAGGACACTGCTCCTTTCCAAAGGATGCTGCCATGAGTACATGGTCTTATAGAGAATTGCCAATAGGAGTCTTCACAAAATAAAATTCATATGTGTTATAGATAGCTGTTTTCTTGGATACAAACAGCATACTTCACAACATGTTTCCATGGATACCAAAATAACAATATTTGTAGCTGTTCCCAGTGGTATACAGGTAACTAGTGTTGAAACACGCGTTGTTTCCATGGATACGAGATCACCTGCCTGTTTGGGAGGTACAGGAAGGATAACAGGCAGTGATGTAGACACTTGGTGAAGCCTTCATTATAGTATACAGCACTGAAATTAACAAAATCAAGTTGTTATACAATAATTAAATACTAGGTGAAGTTTTCTTTGAAGAATAAAACATGCATATTTCATTATACTAGTTAGGCATTGTGGTTTTTTCTTTTTTTATGAAAATTTTTCCTTTTTTTATATTTATTTGGTCTTTAAAATTTGGAAATTTTCTTTGCTTTTGCTCTTTATCATAGGGAATTTAAAAATTCCTTTGAAGAAACAGTTATAATAATCTTTACTTGTCAAATCCATGCTTGTAGCCTTTTGACCATTTTGTTTTTCTGACAAGTCCAAAATTAAAATTGCACAACAAGGGACCAAGGAGACCCATCCAGTAATTCAAGAAATAATGATAATCATTCATAATCAAAATCGAAGAAGAATCCTGAAGTAATAGCAACAATTAAGTTTTACTGTCACATTCTAAGATGGATGCCAGTTATCCATTTTGTTTTCTAGTCAGTCCCCAAATCAAAAGAGCACAACAAAGGACCAAAGGGAACCTACATATTAAATTTTGAAAAATTCATCCGTACTTCTCCAAAAAAAAATATGACTGTCAAAATCCAATAAGGTTGCCAGTCAGCCATACTGATTTTCTAATCAGTTTCAAAATTAGATATTGCAAAACTAAGACCGAAAAATGATCCATCCGTCACATCTTAAAAACAAGAGGCCCATGGGCCTTAACGGTCATCTGACTACAAAAACTTTCAGCATGGATAAGAGTTATTTTTTCTACTTTGAATGAAATCTTGCTAAAAAGATGTTTTCCATGACGCAGATGGTAGATTTGGTGAGGAGTAGGTGACTGTAACAAGTTTAACCTATTTTTTGACAGTAAAGTTGGAGCTCAATCAAACTGGTGAAACTTGAGGAGAAGTTTGAAAAAGGTGTTGCACAAGAAAACCATGATTGCACAATCATGTTACAAAATTGCCTTCCTGTCTGCTGAATTGAATTTTTGACAAGGTTAAAAAATAACAACACTTTGTTGGCTACATTTCCTTAACATTCCCACCGATTCTTAGCTCAACGGCACCAGTGGAACTGGAGAAGAAGTTTAAAATATGTTTCTCAAGATGGCAGCCATCTTGAATTTCAAACATACCCGAAAAATAACAACACTTCGTCACGACCATCTCAGGATCATTTCATGCAAGTGGAACTTGAGAAGTTTGAAATGCCAAAAGTTTAGGAACTTTGGACGATGACGGATGAAGCACGATGACTATAGGTCATCATGACAGCCACCTGTCCACCCTTGTTCTTTTTCCTATTGGTCTCAAAATGAACTATGCACAACTATGTACCAAGGAATCTTCATATGAAAACGGAGATTGATAAATCAAATGCTTCACCAGAAATAAAGATTACAAACTATTCCTGTCAAAATTCAAGAAAGCCACATTTTCGGCCATATCACTTTTAAGATGGGACAATGCACAACTAGGGAGCATGGGGAACCTACATATAATATTTGAAGATACCTCCAGTAATTATTTAAGAAAAATGCAATTACAAGAATTGTTTAAGGACAGATGGACGGAGAATGGATGGAAGTGATGAAGCTCATGTTACATCTACTGTATATGAAGACAATAAAGTCAGGGTGATCATGATGTTTTGTATTTGAGTTGATTTATTTTAATTCTGTCATAATGATGATGATATATATCAGTATTTGATAGTGTGTGTGTGTTTGTGTGTGTGTGTGTATATGGGTGTGGGTGTAGGTGTGTGTGTGTGGGTGTGTGTGTATGTGTGTGAGGGTGTGTATGTGTGTGTGAATGTTGTTTTATGTTTTCACCAACACCATCTAAAATCATTTCAGAATTACAAAAACATAAATAAAATTAAAAAACATAAATGTGTCTGAATTTTTTTTTCAATGTTCAATTTCCTGTAATATAATTCCAGTGTTGGTGGCTTCCTATGAAACTCTCTTTTTGCAAAACAATCTGTTTTCATGTTGGAATACCAACCTCTTTCTCTTTTGATTTCGGTTCTCTGGTTGTGCGCTCCCTTGGACGACTTCCATGGGCCATGTGGTGCTGTGGTGTCCCACCCCCTGATGACCATGTGGGCTGTTGCTGGCGTTGCTCCTGCCTTCGTACAGCCATAGCTAACCGTTTATCCTCTTCAGCCTGCATTCGAGCTGCCAACTCATGACTGTAACAAGTAGAGAGATAAATGAGTAACTTGTGTGAATCTGTGTTTATTGCACAGCCTTAGTTATTTTGAGACAGGGTCTCTGATATTGAAGTAACTCAGGTGGCTGTCTTACTGAACCAAACCCCATGAGAACACAAACTGGATTGGGAATGTCAATGCAAACACATTGGATATTCACCCAATGTTGTGTAGGCCACTATCTACAAACAATTATCACCGCCCCAAACCCATTCCACAAGTGTGATGAACCTATGCCCCAACCAAAAAGTTCCAGACAAGTAGTCCTGATTAGGCCTGAACAATCCTTCCCTTTAATGTAGATCTAAGGTAAAAATGTACACCAAAGTTACATAAATATCGTAGTTTGTAAATGACACACCCCTCTTCTAGGCTGACCTATGCATGTAGGCCTGTAGGTGTTACATCATGATAAGATAAAGTGTGGAAGAGTGGACAGATACACAGGATCAAAGTGGATGACTAATTACCAGGTCTATCTGAAATATACTGATATTTTCTCAGTCGCCAATTCTCATTTTGAACAAAAAAGGGATGTTTCATGTTTTTTAACCAATGAATCATTAACAGCAAAAAAAAAGTTATTCAGATATTAAATTGTCCTTTTGTTATAACATTCATGGTAAATAACAGAGTAGAGCAAAGGGATATAACTCTTACTCAGACAGTCGGGGTTGTTGTGGATCCTGTCTGTGATTGTCCTGATTCCAGTCCATTTCTTCATCTCTCAGTTGTTGCTCACGCTGCAGGGACATAGCCAGCAAGTAACTGTCAACACAGATTAAAACATTCAGGTAAGTGTCAACACAGTACATACAGGTAACTATCAACACAGTACATACAGGTAACTGTCAACACAGTACATACAGGTAACTGTCAACACAGTACATAAAGGTAACTATCAACACAGATTAAAACATTCAGGTAACTATCAACACAGTACATACAGGTAACTATCAACACAGTACATACAGGTAACTGTCAACACAGTACATACAGGTAACTGTCAACACAGTACATACAGGTAACTGTCAACACAGTACATTCAGGTAACTGTCAACACAGTACATACAGGTAACTATCAACACAGTACATACAAGTAACTGTCAACACAGATTAAAACATTCAGGTAACTATCAACACAGTACATACAGGTAACTATCAACACAGTACATACAGGTAACTATCAACACAGTACATACAGGTAACTGTCAACACAGTACATACAGGTAACTGTCAACACAGTACATACAGGTAACTATCAACACAGATTAAACCATTCAGGTAACTATCAACACAGTACATACAGGTAACTGTCAACACAGTACATACAGGTAACTGTCAACACAGTACATACAGGTAACTGTCAACACAGTACATACAGGTAACTGTCAACATTAAAACATTAAGGTAACTATCGGCACAGTACATACAGGTAACTGTCAACACAGTACATACAAGTAACTGTCAACACAGATTAATATATACAGGTTACTGTCAACACAGATTAATACATACAGGTAACTGTCAACACAGATTAATACATACAGGTAACTGTCAACACAGATTAATACATACAGGTAACTGTCAACACAGATTAAAACATTCAGGTAATTGTCAACACAGATTAATACATACAAGTAACTGTCAACACAGATTAATACATACAAGTAACTGTCAACACAGATTAATACCTTGAGATAGCTTACTGTCAACACTGATTTATACATACAGATAACAAGCAATACAGATCAACACCTACAGGTAACAAAGTTAACTACATACAGGTACACTAAAATTGCACATTTATATATAACCTTTGACCTACTCTAAGGAAGTTAGTTTACTGTATACGGACAAACAAACCTGTAACTAAGGCAATCAATCTATGAATAATTAAGTATGGGTGAAGAACATAGTATACAAAGTTAAATATAGGTAACGGTAAACACATTTTGCATTCAATAAATAACTGAAGACAACTGAGAAAATAAACATTTAAAAAAGAATATCAAAACATCAACCTTATGATAAACTCTGTCTTCTTTAATGAAGAAGCTCATTTTTAAAGAGAGTAGCCACATGGAGTAACAGAAACACACTTGACTTACATCTAAACAATCAGATTTTGATTTCCCTCTTGAATATTAAAAGATAAGAGTCACCTGCTTATCTATGGGACATTTCTCTAGCTACTTCCACCTTAAAACTATAAATATTTTAACAGTATACTAATCATCCTATGGTATTTTTATTGATCCAAATTTGATATCTCTAATTTCCCAACGACCTTGTACTTACTAAAATCACAATAACCTATACCAATCAAGTATGATTGCTAAATTTTGTGTCTATGTCCCTACTGGGCTCCACATCTCTATAGATTTCACCTACACTGCCCCTCTGGCATGTGAGCTGACAGAATAGCACAACGCTTAGATCATTTATAACAACACAGGAAATTATCACTTTACTAACTCTTGATCAACTTGCTCCTCTGGGTTCATGGGTGTTGGTGGTATGACCGGTTCACTAGGTGGAGACTTCCTGTAAGTTTCGAAATTGGCATCCACAAAATAGCCATCGTTTTCCACGTTAGATAACGTCTCCCATACCACATTACGCTCGCTCAAAAACCCTTGATCTGTCACTAACAGAAACAGCTCATTCTGTAACAAAAAAAATACAACAATGGCAGTGAAAACAGCTTCTAATCACATACTACACAGATATGTAGGCTACTCAACCAATGGCGTTTTGGTCAATGATCTGTTGATACTATTAATAGTTCAATGACACAAATCTATAGATACTACAATCCATTTTATGACCAAGATTTATAATATTTTTTTTTCAAGACTATGACCCGAATCTGGAGATATTGTTGTCAGGTCAATGACTGAGATCTAGAGATGTTATTATCAGGTCTATGTCCAGATCTAGAGATGCTATTATCAGATCTATGTCCAGATCTAGAGATGCTATTATCAGGTCAATGACTCAGATCTAGAGATGCTATTATCAGGTCTACGACTCAGATCGAGAGATGCTATTATCAGGTCTATGTCCAGATCTAGAGATGCTATTATCAGGTCTATGACCCAGATCTAGAGATGCTATTATCAGGTCTATGTCCAGATCTAGAGATGCTATTATCAGGTCTATGTCCAGATCTAGAGATGCTATTATCAGATCTATGTCCAGATCTAGAGATGCTATTATCAGGTCTATGAACCAGATCTAGAGATGCTATTATCAGGTCTACGACTCAGATCGAGAGATGCTATTATCAGATCTATGTCCAGATCTAGAAATGCTATTATCAGGTCTATGTCCAGATCTAGAGATGCTATTATCAGGTCTATGAACAAGATCTGAAGAAAATATTTTCAGGTCTATGCATTAAAAATCCTTTCACTCTGAATTTAGTATTGTTACGTTTTGAGTACATGAACCAACATCACTTTGAATTAGGAGTTAGTTTCATTCTGTTTGTATCTACTGATATCACTCAGGATCTGTTTGTATCTACTGATATCACTCAGGATCTGTTTGTTTTTACCAATATCACTCAGGATCTGTTTGTATCTACTGATATCACTCAGGATCTGTTTGTTTTTACCAATATCACTCAGGATCTGTTTGTATCTACTGACATCACTCAGGATCTGTTTGTATCTACTGATATCACTCAGGATCTGTTTGTATCTACTGACATCACTCAGGATCTGTTTGTATCACTCAGGATCTGTTTGTATCCTAATATCACTCAGAATAACTGTTTGATTTTCTAAAAACTGATATCAACACAATTTGTTTGAAGTCCTTCAGCTCAGAATAACCCCAGTTCACCGATTTTCAAAGATAAAAACTGATATCAACACAATCTTACAAAATCAGTACAAGAAAACTTCTTTATACATTAAGTGTTTAGGGCGTCATCCTCTATGCATTGTCAGGCTCTGCCCCTAATTAGGTATTTAGTATAAAGTAGAGAAGTGGGCTATTGGGCTGAACCCAATGATAACACAGAATGGGTGTCAAGAACCCCCAATTCTGGTCATTGGCCTCTTCTTACAAACAATCAGCTGCTCTACAAAGTCTTATTTATATACTCCTTCTCTTTCTAATAAGGTAAATTAACATAAAATAACATATTGCTTTAACAGGGTATTAATGAGCAACATTTATCCCCATTGATAATTGAACAATATTCAAATCAGATTGACTGTCTCATTGAATGAATCATCTATGGGGATCTTTGTAATTCTCTTTCAAACTTTGAAGATGGGTTTACAGTCAGAGTTATATTAAAGAAGGGTCTCCTTGTAGTAGTTAGTGGCTACCCCACTGAACAACATAAGGGAGGCCCTGTAACCAGCCATAGCAAAGTGGGTAAAGTGTCTTGCACACGGACACAACCGCAACTCAGCAGATAAGTCTGTTTCTCAGCTTCCTTTAACACACAAACCACAACGAGTCCACTGTCACAAAGGAATAGCAGCACAAGTGAGTTATGTTTCTATTGTATCATAGATCATTATTTATTTCAATGCCACTGCTAGGATTTGAACCCCTGATCCCTGGCTCACTAGTCCACAGACTGGCAGTATATTCTGTTAGCATTTACCAGGGTTACATACTCCCCATCCAGAAAAGAACTTGTCCTCAAATTTTCCTGGGGTTACAGCAATGCTTATTGGGCATGGCTAAGTGTTATTCCCCGAGTCCCTACATGGACAACAATTAACAGCGATCATTATTTATTCCAATTCTGCCGCTAGGTATCTAAATCAGGACCCCTGGCTTATTAGTCGAACCCCCCCACTGATCAAGCTAAGGTGCTCTCTTAAGCCAAGCTGTGTTTTGCTGCAAGTATTTACCAGAGTAACACTCTTGATCACACCTAATTATCTGAAACACAATTAAAATTGAAGATAATTAATCTTTTATACCTTAGTATGGGACAGAGTGATTTGTTTATCGTTAAAGATACATTAGCAGTAACCTTATCTCTCTAGCTTGGCAACTAAATACACCATCATTAACAATGTGATAATGTAAGAACCCTATGGTTCAAAAAGGTACCATGATTTAAAGAGGCCCCAGGGTTCCCAAAGGTACCATATTTTAAATAGGCCACAGGGTTCCCAAACATACCATGATTTAAATAAGCCCTTGGGTTCCAAAAGGTGCCATGATTTAAATAGGCCACAGGGTTCCCAAAGGGACCATGATTTAAATAAGCCCTGGGGTTCCCAAAGGTACCATGATTTAAATAGACCCCAGGGTTTCCATTAGTACCATGATTTAAATAGGCCATACGCTTCTGAGAGGGACCACTATCTAAATAAACCCTCATGTTCCTATATGGACCACTATTTAGATATACCCTTGCCTTCCTACAGGGACCTCTATTTCAAAATAACCCTAGCGTTCACATAGGGACCACTATTTAAATAAACCCTGGGGTTTCCACAGGGACCACTGTTTAAATAAATTTTAGGGTTGAAATAGGAACAGTTGAATTAGGTTTGACATAACTAATACAAAATTTGGTATATCAATCGCAGGTTGATTGTTATTCATATGAAACAGATATTTAAATACAAATATATTTAATTACTTAGTGCTGCATATATATTTCATAAACAATTATATATACATAGGAAATTTTTTAATTTTCATATTATCATTTTATCAAATGATAATTTGGCTTGGTTTATGACCATCCAGGATCAATTTGAGGCAAGTTCCCCTTGTAATAGCTGGTGGCTATTTACTGAACAACATATGGGAGGCTGTCACATTCTGTCCAGAGCAATAAGGTAAAAGTGTCCTGTCCAAGGACACAACCATGACACAAGTCTGTTTTACTTTTACAGATAAAAACTGCCATGGGTTAGGCAATAGAAAATATTCAATTACCTCAAGAATCAAGAATTTTAAAAAGTATACTTAACATGCTGTCTATTTTTTACCAACATCTGTAAACTTAGTTAAAATAAATCACATCCTTTTTCAAATTATTTCTCAAAGGTTTTAAGATAATCAACAGGTTATAAAATAAAAGCCTGGGAGTCACAGAGTTACTTTAACAGTGATCAGGATAACACAACTTTGTAAAACTGCACCTGGTGCAGAATCCGATACAAATCAGTCAAGGGACCTTTGAACACTGGCCAGGGGTGTGATTAGGGCCACATAATGAGAGTATTGAACCCTCAGCTTCAATCTTGTATATCAAACATATATTTAATCATTTTCTAATTGATATCAAATCTAAAAATAAATTGTATTTCAATTAAGTTGGTTGTAGATGCAAAACAGGACAATTTGATTATCTTTACATGCCTATGTTTGTAGACAACGGCGATATCAATCACACTAAACATTTGTCTCAAGTTGCTGATGACTTTAACAAGCGGTACATCGACTTAGTTAATAAGTACAATGTAACTTGATAAGGGATTGTCCATATTACGACAAGGACATAACACAAAGTTAGAACACCGACTGTTGACCCGAATGATGCTTTAAACATAATTTGCAAGCGGATGAATCATTTCTCAACAGAGCAATGTACAGGATATCCTTCAATGTGTGACAAAACTTCCCATCAACACACAAGCTCTGGACCTGGACACATGATGTACTAGCTTAAAACTTTAAGGAGAATGAGGTATATTAACAAACATCTAGGTTGATATTCTCTATTGGCTCTCATTAATCTATCATTACGATATATAACATCAATTTAGACCTAAAAATATTCGGGGACCAAGTGTGAGCCTTCACAGTGTACAAAACTGTACGTGCAACTTTTATTTTAGAATTAGGTATCGATAAGATTAAATTAAGTATTGACAAAATTAAATTTAATAACGTTTAAGCATAAAACAGCCATACCACTTGAGTTAGAATATAAGGAGAAGGAAGTAAACATCTACAACCGGATTGTATATAATGTATTTACAATATATGAGATTATTTATTTTATGACTGATTAACACAGACTACTGCTATCCTGCCCCTAAGAAAACTGGAATAACATTTGATGTCAACTCGGAAATAACAATATGTTCAGGTTGGACTCAGAACAGCACATTTAAAAGTGTGGCCACTTTTAAACCTGATCAATGTGAAACTTTACATGGTGTGTTAAAATACAACTGAGGCGTGTCTGAAAATGAAGTTTGATTTTATACTGGATTTTCCTTCACCAGCTAAGCACGGTCTGCATTCCATCATCCTACTTTTTTACTGTGTTGTGTCCTGCAACTTTTTACCAGGTAAGACAGATAACTAATTCAATCTCTCCTTTTACCATACAAGTAAAAACTTTTGGAAACAATGGAAAAATATAATTTAGTATTAGCTTGAATGAATCAATGGAACGTTCATGGCTGTATATGTATTATGTCACAACAGCACATATCAACATAAACAGTTGCTATGACATTTTCATTGAGTTGTACAAACTTTTAATGAATCTGAATATCAATTAAATTATAGTAAGTCGATGAGTGTTAATTGAATTTTAATAGTCTGATGTTTAGGTCAACTGAGGTGCAAAAGAATTCAATGAATCAATTACTATATATACCTTAAGTTGTACATTTTTGCCTTTTGTCTAAGTCAGAAGTTATCAACTACATTGTACAAAATGTCACAGCATTGCAATATGTTTGAGACAAATTTAAACAAATATTTCTACAGTAAGGAGTGAACCTGAACCAGTTGGTGGATATTGTATATCGTATGGCCAGCGAGAGTGTCGGAACCTGTCTGATCCCCTGTACAAGGGTATCTTTAAACCCACTGCCACCACAGACATCTGTCAGTAAGTAATGAAACACCATTTGTTGTCAGAGTTGTTTGTCAGCTGGTATTGAACACAGAGCCATGTGATAAAGGGAGGTAATGAAGTAATCAGTATTCAATGTGTAACAATACTTAATCATTCTAAATTATATTAAATTAACGGCAACTGTCTGGAGATGGCTACATCAGTCTGTAAAATGATGACACTTTTCGACACAGTAATGACATTAATTCAAGTATCTACAAAATCAAACTACATATAAAGTCTTGCTTAAGGAAGAAAGGTACCTGTCCATTTTCTCGTCTATGAAAAAATGCTACATTTTCAACAAGTAAATCTGATACATTAAAATTGTTCAGAACTTTCAATAACTCATAAAAAAAATCTGAGATGAAATGACTATCAATTATCATTAAAATCATGCCACATAACATCCATATTTAAATCTGGCCTTGAAAGTACATCTTAACATCAGAATAAAAGATATGGTGGCATGAAATGATGGTCAATTTCAGGCGTTGTACATACACCTGTAGATTGAGACTATTCAGGAGTATGATATTCTGTTTCTCCTTCAGATTATTTGCCACATATCACTCCTGCATAAATCGGATATTTTTGAACTGTCCACTTACTGAAGAAGAAAAGAAGTTCTATGATACAAGCTTTGTACAGTTCTTCAACAAAGAGTATGCGTGTCATATCTCAACTACAGGTAACTTTACATGTTAATCACAAACTCATCTTACATTAAGTTTTAAACCTACTATAAAATGGTTTTACATCTAATGTTATGTCTCTACCAAACATAAACTTAAATCAATCACGTAAAACTAAATTTTACTATGATGTAAATACATGCCTCCAACATGAGGAATAACCAATGAGTAAAATTCTGCACAATAGAAGTAGTTTTAATGTTGTAAAAGTTTAAATCAGTCGCTGTTTAGAACAAAATTTAAGCCATCAAAGTGAGAGGTACATGTAGAGGGTAAAATGTAATGTATTCATGACAGAAGTAATATACTGAACTATAAAATGTTACTGTTGTCAAGACAGTCAATAATCATGTTTGATGCTCCTTTTCTTTTCAGGACAATTACACCAGAGTAACACAAATGTCGGTCCAATAACCAAATCAAATTCTGTGTTAATGTGGAAACTGTGGTTCCTTGTTGGATGTGTATACTTTACAAGTCATCAATTAACATCATGAATATATAGACGTAACAATTGTGCTAGCTATATACTGTGATACAATGTAAATTCTTAATATCTTGTTTAACATTTCTTTTGATACAAAATGTGAGAGTGATAAAGTCTCACTATCAACGTCAAATGATGTGCAATATATACGTCAGTATAGACAATGACTGCTAATGTGAATAAAACAGTTGATCAAGTAAATATTTCTGAGTAATAAGACCTTACCACTATCAATCACCCCACGTATTAATGAACATTATGTCAGAGTAAAACGTTTGTCGCCACGAATCAAATGACAACATGTCTGTGAGCAAGTGATCTCATAAACAGACTTAAAATCACAAGGTATTACTGGAGGGACAAATTGAAGATTTCCTGTGATATTAACAACACTGAATACCATAGAAATTCCTAATTTTGATGGTGGTTACAATATGTAAGTATCAACCAAAAATTTACAAAACCCAATTTTCATAATAGCCTTGAAAAGAATGAACTTTTGAAGATTTTTCGAGATTTTTTTACATTTATGAAAATAGTGAAAAATAAAACCTCAATATGTGTGTGAAATATAAGTAAATATTTCTAATTTGACCTTCCACTGAGACATGGTGACCTTGACTTATAATAATATGATCATGGCTTCTCATTTAATTTCAACCAATTATACTTCATTTTGTCATAACAGTGAAATACCTTAAATTTGACCTTGACATTTGATCTAAAACATTAGTCAGTTGCACATTTGAAATTTGACCCTAAATGTTTATCTGATGACCTGTGGTAAATCATTTAATTTCACTCAACAACACTTCATTTATCAGAAGAAATATTTATCAGCAACATTCAGATATGATATGTTATATATTTTCATCTCTATTCAAAGTAAAAATGACTTTGACCTAAAACCTCTGAAAATTAAAAGTCATCCTATAATCTTGAGAGTGAAATATGTTTAACAAATCCTAAAATATTGTGCCAAAACAAAAACATGACAGACAGCCGGAGAGACACCTGATTACAATATAGCATACATATATGGTGAACATATTGCACTCAAGATGAAAGGATTGATTACAATACGTCACAGGCATCTTCAATGTGGGATCCTAATAACCTTTATAGAAGATAGCCAGAGTGAGACCTAAATGTCGATATGAATGATTGTGTATTTTCTTGTTGTATAATTATGAAGGGAAGAAAAAGGTAAGAAAATTCATTCAGGTAACTGTAAACAAATTTTCAAAACAACAAACATATGCTATATTGTCAAATGCAAATATCTTGTAAACAAAATTCAATACAAGCAAACCACTGAAATATATGCTAATATCTGTTCGTTACAACCTCTTTAAATCAGTGCAAATATACATATCTATTAATACTTTTGCAAAAAAAAATGTGTAAGATATCAGTGTTACTTTCAATGAAACAAGTTTTCATAGTTTCTCTCTTTTTTGATCAATCAGACCACAGTCACCAGAGATTTGTGAATATCAATATCCATCAAAGTGTATTGTGGTAGCCTGTGATTGTAAGGCGCAACATCTCCTGTAGAGACTGTAAAACTATAGGCCTACAAAATGGAAGGAAACTTTACACTGTATTTATATGATCATCACCAATCAGTATGTAATCATAAGAATAGTAAGTGCTACACTTTGTATTTAGTTACCTTATTGTAAAGTATTTGAAGGCTTGTGTCTTAAATGTGAAACTGTAACATTCAGCAGAATAAAGTTAATTAATAGACAGAACAGCAAATTTGAACTGGCATCCATGAAAGCTGAAGAAATATGTAATAAATAGAATGCTCCTTGTTTCTTGATGAATAACAGTGCTGCATGTTCATGAAAAATATCCACTCCACACGAAGAATGATTGTTTTATATAGTCACCATTTGTCTGAATTCCATACTGCCCTCCTAAACCAAAATTTCAATGGGACAGAGAGTTCCAGACAAAGCAGGTGCTATGTAGCATAATAACTTAAATATGTGGAGAGCTTTAAGTATCCTAGAAAGATAATGAAGTTATCATTTGTAGGAAAGCTCACATGTTATTGTCCTATACTGTAACTTCCAATATCCAAATGTGGAACCAGAATCAAAATTTTTGAATTTTCACAAAACCCATCAGAAAAGGTCCCGACTAGATATATGTGTGTTTGGTTGGTTTATCTCTGTCTCCTCAACCCCTGCTGCCTGGCACACTGTCACAAAAGCATGTCTGGTGTTTAATGAATATTATTGTCATTATCTTTTTTCTTTTTAGATCAACACAGTGGCAATAAGGCATCAACTTGATCTGGCTAAGCTATTTAGGATAGACTAAGGGAAATAACTCCTGCTAAATTAATAAACTCAAGTCACCAAACTGGCATTTTATTGGCAAAACTAATCTGAGGATAAAAATGAACTTCTGCATTTTATTGCAAAATGTTTAACAGTAACCATGGCTGATTATTTAATTGAACTAATCTCAATCGTAGTTGACCTGAACAACAAAAGGCCCCATGGGCCTGCAGAACTTATCTTGTATATATTTAATTTTTGAAAATTCATTTTGATAAACTTGAAAAAGAAGGTATAGAATTAAATATATCAAAGAACAAAGACAAGTTAATGGGCCTTAATGGTAGTCTGAGAATAAAGAAGGCTAGAAGTTATGTAGTGTACAAACTTAGAAGCAGTATGTTACTGCTGAACATCATTTTTACTATCTGAAAATTATCACAAATGTTGCAAGAATCATTGTGAAGATTTATGAGAGGATGCATTTAAATGTTTTGACAAATTAATATCTGTGACTTTGAACATACGTCAAGGTCATTCCTTTTTCATAAACTTTGTCAGGCTTTATCCTAAGAAAATACCAGTCAAATACTGTGCCTCTAGGCATTTCAGTTAATGAGCAAAAATCATTTAAAGGTTTTAACAAATTTGACCCCTGTGACCTTGAAAATAAGGTCAACATCATGTCTTTTCGCAAACTTCATCAGGCTTCATCCTAGGAACATACCAACCAAATATCTAAACATTTAGTCCATTGGTCATTGAGAAGAAGTTGTTTAAAGGAAAAAGTTGATGCCAGATGACGGATGATGGACCCCACACCATGACATAAGCTTTTTTTAATCCCTTTTGAGCAAGGTGAGCTAAAAAAATCAAAATTTAATCTAAAAAGTTAATCTTAATTTACAGATACTGGCTGTTCTTTATCATTGGTGAATAAAACTCTAAACTCCAGCTGTAGCAGCACAGATATCTATATAATCTTGCTTAATTGGTAAGTACAACTTTTGACCCACCTGGTGTCTGTACATGGTACTGAAGTGGTTGTTCCTGAAGAAGACACATAGCTGATTCTCCTTGACAACAGAGTTCAGCTCACAAAGGCCATGATAAGTTAGCTGGGCAGCTGCTCCATCAAGGAAAGACTCACACAGCAATGCTATAAAACAAGAATAAACATAGAGACAGCAGCTCTGACAGGGTTGGACTGGGACAGCAATGGTATAACAAGAGTACCGCAAAGCGGAAAAAATACGCCCATGAATATCCAAAACAGCAAAGGGGCATAACTCTTATTCAAATCGTCTCATCAAAACCCTGTTCAGGAAACCACAATTTCATATCAAGGTGATTAAGCCTACTAAATTTCATAAAGATCAGCTGAAAAATGTTGGAGGAGATCTCTGGACAAATAAAAGTTTATGACAGACGCTGGACGGACGGACAGCGCCATACCATAATATGTCCGTCTTTTGACGGGCGTATTAAAACAAGAATAAACTTTGAGACAGCAGCTCTGTCAGGGTTGGACTGGGACAGCAATGGTTTAAAAACAAGAATAAACTTAGAGACAGCAGCTCTGTCAGGGTTGGACTGGTACAGCAGAGACAAAAAACAAGAATAATCATTGAGATAGCAGCTCTGTCAAGGAATGTATGTTGATGTTCAGTGTTTATCACCCCAGACTACGGTAATGTATGTACATGTTTAGTGTTGGGTTTATCACTGTAGACTACGGTAATGTACGTACATGTTTAGTGTTGGGTTTACTACAGTAAACTACAGTAATGTATGTCCATGTTCAGTGTTGGGTTTATCACTGTAGACTACAGTACTGTATGTACATGTTTAGTGTTGGGTTTATCACTGTAGACTACGGTAATGTATATACATGTTTAGTGTTGGGTTTATCACTGTAGACTACGGTAATTTATATACATGTTTAGTGTTGGGTTTATCACTGTAGACTACAGTAATGTATATACATGTTTAGTGTTGGGTTTATCACTGTAGACTACGGTAATGTACGTACATGTTTAGTGTTGGGTTTACTACAGTAAACTATGGTAATGTATGTACATGTTTAGTGTTGGGTTTATCACTGTAGACTACGGTAATGTATGTACATGTTTAGTGTTGGGTTTATCACTGTAGACTACGGTAATGTATGTACATGTTTAGTGTTGGGTTTACTACAGTAAACTATGGTAATGTATGTACATGTTTAGTGTTGGGTTTATCACTGTAGACTACGGTAATGTATGTACATGTTCAGTGTTGGGTTTATCACTGTAGACTACGGTAATGTATGTACATGTTTAGTGTTGGGTTTATCACTGTAGACTACAGTAATGTATATACATGTTTAGTGTTGGGTTTATCACTGTAGACTACGGTAATGTATGTACATGTTTAGTGTTGGGTTTATCACTGTAGACTACAGTAATGTATATACATGTTTAGTGTTGGGTTTATCACTGTAGACTACGGTAATGTATGTACATGTTTAGTGTTGGGTTTATCAATGTAGACTAACAATATGGTACATATATTGCAAAATACAGACATATGTTGATTTAATATAAGGTAGACAATGGGTAGATAACAGTACCCATAACGTATATGGACCAATTTTTACTTTTAAGGTTTATTGCTCATTTTAACTCAATAAAATAATAATTTTGATTTGAAATACTCCATGTTGAAATGAAAATTACACATTTGATGGCATCAAAGATCACTGGATTATTCCAACCGTAAACATTGAGTATGTCATCAGAACACTTATCTCAACATTATTCATAATTTGATGTTCTGTTTTAATTTCAGCCATAGACTTGCACACAATTATAAAGCATTTTGAAGTTTAGATATCAATCAGTTATTCTTTAAAATCGCAGATGACAGCCTGAGATAAAGGGGATTATTTCCACATGGATACATATTCAAAACCTATTTTTATACAGAGCAATACTCACAAATGATTTCTAGCCTGTATCAGGCATTCAACCATTCAGACATTCCAATGAATGAACATCTGATCTTTACTATAATTGGTACTCTGATTCCAACATCATATTGTAAAATGTTTGTCATTTTATATGAAGAAGTGTCTTTAGTCGATGTTTAAAGAATTCAATCATTTACTGGATAATTCATTTATCACAATGTAGGCTACATTCTATAATGTATCCATGTTTAGTTCTCTCACTGTAGACTAGTGTATATGTAGTGTTACACTGTAGACTACGGTAATGTATGTATTTCTCTCTGGGTTTATATGTAGGCTACATTGTATAATGTAGTGTTGGGTTTCTCTCTGGACCAGTGTATATATAGTGTTATCATTGTAGACTACTATAATGATCCTATTTCTATCATGTATAGTGTTGGGTTTATCACTGTAGACTACGGTAATGTATGTACATGTTTCTGTTGGGTTTATCTCTGTAGGCTACATAATGTATGTACATGTTTAGTGTTGGGTTTATCACTGTAGACCAGTGTATATGTAGGTTACATTGTATATAATGTATACATGTTTATGTTCTCTCTGTAATGTATGTCCATGTTCAGTGTTGGGTTTATATGTAGGCTACAGTACTGTATGTAATGTTTAGTGTTATCACTTCTCTAATGTATGTGCATGCTCAGTGTATATGTAGGCTACATGTCATGTTCAGTGTTGGGTTTATCACTGTAGACTACGGTAATCTATGTACATGTTCAGTGTTGGGTTTATCACTGTAGACTACGGTAATGTATGTACATGTTTAGTGTTGGGTTTATCACTGTAGACTACAGTAATGTATATACATGTTTAGTGTTGGGTTTATCACTGTAGACTACGGTAATGTATGTACATGTTTAGTGTATCATGTAGGCTACAGTTGTATATACATGTTTAGTGTTGGGTTTATCACTGTAGACTACGGTAATGTATGTACATGTTTAGTGTTGGGTTTATCTCTGTAAACTATGGTAATGTATGTACATGTTTAGTGTTGGGTTTATCACTGTAGACTACAGTACTGTATGTACATGTTCAGTGTTGGGTTTATCACTGTAGACTACGGTAATGTATGTCCATGTTCAGTGTTGGGTTTATCACTGTAGACTACGGTAATGTATGTCCATGTTAAGTGTTGGGTTTATCACTGTAGACTACAGTACTGTATGTACATGTTTAGTGTTGGGTTTATCACTGTAGACTACGGTAATGTATGTGCATGCTCAGTGTTGGGTTTATCACTGTAGACTACGGTAATGTATGTACATGTTCAGTGTTGGGTTTATCACTGTAGACTACGGTAATGTATGTACATGTTTAGTGTTGGGTTTATCACTGTAGACTACAGTAATGTATATACATGTTTAGTGTTGGGTTTATCACTGTAGACTACGGTAATGTATGTACATGTTTAGTGTTGGGTTTATCACTGTAGACTACAGTAATGTATATACATGTTTAGTGTTGGGTTTATCACTGTAGACTACGGTAATGTATGTACATGTTTAGTGTTGGGTTTATCTCTGTAAACTACGGTAATGTATGTACATGTTTAGTGTTGGGTTTATCACTGTAGACTACAGTACTGTATGTACATGTTTAGTGTTGGGTTTATCACTGTAGACTACGGTAATGTACGTACATGTATATGTAGGCTACATTAAACTATAATTATCCTATTTCTCTCTGGGTGTTATATGTAGGCTACATTCTATAATTATCCTGTTTCTGTCTAGGACCAGTGTATATGGGTACATTCTATAATTATCCTATGTTCTTGTTCTCTGTATATGTAGGCTACATTCTATCAATGTAGACTAACAATATGGTACATATATTATCCTATTTCTCTCTGGAAGTGTATATGTAGGCTACATTCTATAATTATCCTATTTCTCTCTGGACCAGTGTATATGTAGGCTACATTCTATAATTATCCTATTTCTCTCTGGACCAGTGTATGTGTAGGCTACATTCTATAATTATCCTATTTCTCTCTGGACCAGTGTATATGTAGGCTACATTCTATAATTATCCTATTTCTCTCTGGACCAGTGTATATGTAGGCTACATTCTATAATTATCCTATTTCTCTCTGGACCAGTCTATATGTAGGCTACATTCTATAATTATCCTACTTATCTCTGTATATGTAGGCTACATTCTATAATTATCCTATTTCTCTCTGGACCAGTGTTTATGTAGGCTACATTCTATAATTATCCTATTTCTCTCTGGACCAGTGTATATGTAGGCTACATTCTATAATTATCCTACTTATCTCTGTATATGTAGGCTACATTCTATAATTATCCTATTTCTCTCTGGACCAGTGTTTATGTAGGCTACATTCTATAATTATCCTATTTCTCTCTGGACCAGTGTATATGTAGGCTACATTCTATAATTATCCTATTTCTCTCTGGACCAGTGTATATGTAGGCTACATTCTATAATTATCCTATTTCTCTCTGGACCAGTGTATATGTAGGCTACATTCTATAATTATCCTACTTCTCTCTGGACCAGTGTATATGTAGGCTACATTCTATAATTATCCTATTTCTCTCTGAACCAGTGTATATGTAGGCTACATTCTATAATTATCCTACTTCTCTCTGGACCAGTGTATATGTAGGCTACATTCTATAATTATCCTACTTCTCTCTGGACCAGTGTATATGTAGGCTACATTCTATAATTATCCTATTTCTCTCTGGACCAGTGTATATGTAGGCTACATTCTATAATTATCCTACTTCTCTCTGGACCAGTGTATATGTAGGCTACATTCTATAATTATCCTATTTCTCTCTGGACCAGTGTATATGTAGGCTACATTCTATAATTATCCTACTTCTCTCTGTATATGTAGGCTACATACTATAATTATCCTACTTCTCTCTGGACCAGTGTATATGTAGGCTACATTCTATAATTATCCTACTTATCTCTGTATATGTAGGCTACATTCTATAATTATCCTATTTCTCTCTGGACCAGTGTATATGTAGGCTACATTCTATAATTATCCTACTTATCTCTGTATATGTAGGCTACATTCTATAATTATCCTATTTCTCTCTGGACCAGTGTATATGTAGGCTACATTCTATAATTATCCTCCAATGATGTGTTACCAAAGCAAATTTCTGGCCAAACTAACATAAAATACATTAGAAAAAATGTTTTGAAGTCTGGATCTCAAAAAAACCTTGTGTGGAACCTCAAAAAAACCTTGTGTGGAACCTCAAAAATCTCATCCAAAGATTCAAATTTCTCTTCCATTATCACAGGTGTAGTCTAATGTTTAAGAAAATGTTGATCTCTCATTCATATGTAATCAATTAAAAAAAGTTAAGAAAAACCTTAATATCATTACTTAATTCATTACATGTATGAAACATCACACAACACTGGATTCTGGCAACAGGACATAGCTTACCAACCTTCAGTGACAGTTTCTGGTTTGTCCGAGCTTCGTTGGGATATGATTTTCTCCACCAGCTGATTGTAGCTACAGGTACCAATAGCAGTAATCAGATCCTTGTCTTGGGGATCCACCAGCCAGCCATGATACAATGGGATGCTCAGCAAGTCAAAGATGATACACTCTGGCGTGTATTCAAAATCACTTACCCTATAGAGGAAAAGTTAACTACATCACACATCCTATAGAGAAAAACTGAACTCAGCCTCTCACCCTGCTGGAAAGTTAACTCAGTCATACAGTACAGAGAGAAAAATTACTCGCCCTATGAAGAAAATATCTAGTCAAAATCACTCACCCTTAAGAAAAACAGTCTATTAAAAGTTACCCACCATACAGAAAAAAGTTCCCTCACTCCATAGAATCACTCATCCTACAGACAATTAGTCGACTCATAGCAACTCACCCTAAAGAGAAAAAGTTAACTAAAAATCTCACACTTTACAGAAAAAAATTCATTCTAAAATTTACTCGTCCAATATAGAATTTTTTTAATTCAGTCATTTATCAAACCGCGAAACAATTAATCGCTCTATAGAGAAACACTCCAATACTAACTTAAACAAGAGGCCTACTGGCCTTAATGGTCATCTGACTACAAAAACTTTCAGTAGGGAGAAGGGTTATTTTTCTCTACTTTGAATGAAATATTACTAAGAAGCTGTTTTCCATGATGCAGATAATAGTTTTGATGAGCAGTTGGTAACTGTAACAAGTTTTACCTATTTTTTGACAGTGAAGTTTTCAGACAGCATTCAACCTTAAATCTGATTCAGTTTCCTTTCTGACGGCACAGCCGCGACTGACTGCCATGTGAAAGCTTTGACACAGTAAATAGCAACATTTGGTTGGCTACCTTACCTTAACATCCATACCAATTTTTAGCTCAATGTCACCAGTGAAACTGGAGAAGAAGTTTAAGATATGTTTTTCAACATGGCAATTATCATGGTCATGGCGGCCATCTTGGATTTCAGACTGACCTGATAAATAACAACACTTGGTTAGGACCATCTCAGGATCATATCAGACAAGTTGGAGCATAATCCCCCTGGTGGAACTTGAGAAGAGGTTTGAAATAGGTGTTGCACAGCAAAACCATGATTGTGCAATCATGTTACAAAATGGCCTCTCTGACAAAGTTTTGACAAGGTCGGAAAATAACAATATTTTGTTGGCTACCTTTCCTTAACATTCCCACCAATTTTTAGCTCAATGGCACCAGTGCAACTGGAGAAGAAGTTTAAAATATATTTTTCTAGATGGTGGCCATCTTGGATTTTAGACAGACCTGAAAAATAACAATATTTGATCAGGACCATATCAGGATCATTTCATGCAAGTTTGAGCTAAATCCCACTTGTGGAACTTAAGAAGTTTTAAATGTCAAAAGTTTACTCATGGTGGACAGCACACTGCAGATGGGTACCCTATGGGCAAGATGACTCACAAAAAAAAGGCAGTTGATTTTCAGTCACAAATCAAAAGGATAAACATTTATCTCTAAGTTCTCTATAATTACCAAACAGATCAACACTCAACTCACAGTTACTCACAAATAAATTTTCAGTTGACTCTAGATAATGTCAGTGATACAGTTAATGTACAATTGTATTCCTCTATATCATTAAGACAAGATAAATTACCTGCCCCTATAACTAACCTGAGAGTCTAGAAGATCATGGTGTACATGTATATGATGTTAAAATACTACTATACCATCATGTCTTCACCTAACGATCACCCTCATCTCACGTATACAAAATCATCCACTTTTGTACAAAGGCAAAATACCATTAATTGCCAATGCCCCGCATGTTTTCTGTGAACAAGACAGAGCCAGCATCTAACTTCCCTGTTTTTACAGGAATTACATACATGTTTTTACAACAGCAATAACATCATGTTCTTATCACCAAATCCAGATAGTGAAGTGTCAGCATTGACGTGTTGCACTCAAACTGCTGACCTGATACTAATGTTCTGTACTCAAACTGTTGACCTGATACTAATGTTCTGTACTCAAACTGTTGACCTGACACTAATGTTCTGTACTCAAACTGTTGACCTGATACTAATGTTCTGTACTCAAACTGTTAACCAGATACTAATGTCTGGTACTCACACTGTTGACCTGATACTAATGTCTGGTACTCACACTGTTGACCTGATACTAATGTCTGGTACTCACACTGTTGACCTGACACTAATAATCTGTACTCAAACTGTTGACCTAATACTAATGTCTGGTACTCACACTGTTGACCTGATACTAATGTTCTGTACTCAAACTGTTAACCTGATACTAATGTTCTGTACTCAAACTGTTGACCTGATACTAATGTTCTGTACTCAAACTGTTGACCTGACACTAATGTTCTGTACTCAAACTGTTGACCTGACACTAATGTTCTGTACTCAAACTGTTGACCTGATACTAATGTTCTGTACTCAAACTGTTGACCTGACACTAATGTCTGGTACTCACAATGTTGACCTGATACTAATGTTCTGTACTCAAACTGTTGACCTGACACTAATGTCCTGTACTCAAACTGTTGACCTGACACTAATGTCTGGTACTCACACTGTTGACCTGACACTAATGTCTGGTACTCACAATGTTGACCTGATACTAATGTTCTGTACTCAAACTGTTGACCTGACAATAATGTTCTGTACTCACACTGTTGACCTGACACTCATGTCCGGTACTCACAATGTTGACCTGATACTAATGTCCGGTACTCAATCTGTTGACCTGATACTTATGTTCTGTACTCAAAACTGTTGACTTTAAACTGATGTCCTGTACTCAAACTGTCAACATCATACTGATGTCCAGTACATATCCTGTAAACATGACACTAGTATCCTGTGCTCACCCTGTAAAACTGACACAAGTGCCCTGTATGTGTCCTGTATGTAAACATGACACTAGTATCCTGTACTCATCCTGTAAAACTGACAATGGTGCCCTGTATGTGTCCTGTATGTAAACATGACACTAGTATCCTTCACTCGTCCTGTAAAACTGACACATGTGCCCTGTATGTGTCCTGTATGTAAACATGACATTGGTGTCCTGTGCCCATCCCTGTCCTATACTTACCCTGTAAACTTTACATTAACATCCAGACCTGTCTGCAATTTATGAATGACAGCCATAGCATCATGCATGTTCTGTTGATAGTTTAACTGCACAGCTTCGGATGTGTCCTATAAATTCCAGAATAAAAATCAATCTTACTTAATATGTTGATTATAGTGTCACAAATTCTTACACTTAGGAGTCTTTAACCTTGGTGATGAAATCATCAATGTACACCTATAAATAAATCTACAGTTTGATTCTTTATGTGAACTAGTCCATCTAATACTAACATGATCCTAACAGATCTAACTAGTGTCTGATACATCATTAAGTCATAGGACAAATACAAAGGTGTGTGACTGCTTACCCAACCAGTCTGATACACTATTAAGTCATAGGTCAAAAACAAAGGTGTATGACTGCTTACCAAACCAACACTTTAGTGGTATGCCTATGCCTACTTTCAATTCTGACAACTTTCCAGGAAAAGCTTTAAAGTTATGATTCTTCCCTATGTAGCCTTAGTAAAAACTATTTAAACTAGGAAATATCTACTAGACAAGAATGCACCTGCCTTATATATATAAACGGAATATATTGTCTGATTAATTTGTAGACGTTATAAAGTGTGACTTTTGACCCTTTAATCATACTGAGGTAAATAAGAACTATATTTAACAACAGTTTCACAAGACATGACAATGATTGAGATTGACAATGAATCGGACGGACATGAAAATAATGATACAACCCCATCAACTGGCGTGTTGGCGGAATCACATGTATCATATTTTTAGCTTAATACACATAAATGAAGGAAAGTTCATCAACATAAAATGTTTACTTAAACTGTCAAGGGTGGTCAAGCAGTGAAATGGTGCAAAGGTAATGCACTTGCATACTTGCCTTCCATCCTGGGTTTGATTTTTGGGATGGATGTGAAAAAAGTATGGAGTTGCCAGCTTAACCACATGGTTTTCCCCGGGTAATCTAGTTTCCTCTCAAAGTAAGACCCCTCACACAATTCAATCTGGGCCAACAAGTGTGTTCACTGGTTAAAAGTCCTACTACCTTTGACCTTTTGCTGTGACCTATATCAGATCGCTGTGGCATGTTATTATTGAGGAAGTTTCACCATAAAGGTTTTGCAGATCAGAAGTTGATGTTCATCACAGACACCCAATGGAGTGACAAGACACAAAGTTTCAATTTGTATATATCTAAATGTACTATTGTGATGTTGACCTTGGTGACTTGGTTAGCACATTATACATCTTGTTGTTTAGAAATACTTGTCTGATATATATGATATGCTAATTTGTTTAGTTTAACAAAAATTATCCATTTATAAATAGAACTTCTGATAATTTAAACGTCATGCTCTGTTAACTTCTCTTGACTCAGGTTTTGACCTTGACCTTTAGGATCTGTGTTGTTATGTATGTAGGTGCAATATACAAGACATTATCAAGTCATTATGTAGCTTTTAGCTTGTTGTTACTGAAGATATATGGTTCATTGGACAGATGTTTATATCACCCTTTGAAAGTCACCTGCAGAAATTTCTGGTACATTATGTTTGTCGTATGCACTGTTATAGATATATACATTATGTACATACTCTAGTAGGATAAAAAACACATTCTTTACCTTCACAACTGTGTTTTCCAAGCCAGAAACATTTCTCTTGGGTTCATAATTATCTTATAGATACATCTGTCACAATGATTAATTCATGCATACTCTAGAAATCCTAAAAAGTGACACTGTTTTTCACAGCACAACAAATATGTTATTATTGACAAATTTAAAAATCCATAGAAAGATCTGAAGAAAGTTTTATATGTTGGACATTTTGGGGCATGTTTAGTGAAAACACTTTGAATGAAATTTCAGATTGACAAGCTAACTTTGTTCTAGAGAGCAGTCACAACTTTCAGTACAGCAACTTTCTTTACAAGTTAGTGCTTGATAGAATCAAGTTAATTGCAGCCATTATATAGAAACCCATGTTCTGACCTCTGACAATAATACAGACATAATTACCAATTAGAATGCCTATTTAGCTTATGACATCCCAAAAACACCCTTATATGAAATATTTGGTCTAAAAATCATCACTGGTTAACAGCAACACTAATCACCTGTATTACATGATTTTTACAAATTGTGAAATATCATCAAACGTACACATTTGTACCTTACCTGTGTTTTGGGGGCATTTTCTAGAATACAATTGCCAATGTACGTCATCAGTTGATCAGGTGTTATCACTTCTGTGTTTGGAGATAGTTGAACTTGGCCCTTCAAAAGTAACACATTCATTACAGCTATCAAGGGACATGGTCCATTTTCATTCTGTGTAATTGTAGGTATTTCTTTGTTTTTATAGGCAATCCACTTAACGTGGTAAACATTTCTGTCTGTGGCGGTGGGTGAAGCACTTGCTCCCTCGTCTGCTCCTGCCAATTCTGATGTTGTAGTTTCTGGTTTGGAATTTTCGTCTGCAGACAAGGGAGGTAACTCTACTTTCAAATTTTCATCTTTTCCATTATTATCAGTAAACTGACTGTCAATGCTGTTGTCAGTCAAAAGATCATCAATATTATCTATAGGTGTGTCAGAACAGGATGAGGATGTTGGTTCATCGCTTTCTTCTGTTTTATTTGATTTTGTGTCTTCATCACAATGACATTTTACATCAAGTTTTTCTATAGTGTCCATCACACCACATTTCTTATCAGATTCCTCTGCTTTTTCTGTAGCACCACTTTCACAGTCTGACTTTGCTGTCTTAGATGTGTCTAGTTGGTTGCCTTCATTTTCCTCACAACCTCCTTGTATGATTATTTCTGAATCAAGATACAAGTACAAGAATTATGATAAATATAATCTTAATAAATCTATGATAAATAAGGCAACAGATTGAATAAACAGACTATCACATACATTTGCATGAATTCCAATTAGTTCCTCTTACACAATAAACTGGTAGGTATTTGTAAACTTTTACAATTTTTGTTCTCCTCAAACTATGATTATAGATAAATCAAGAAGAAACTCTGTTGTCTTTTGAAATTTGTGGCAGTAACATCGTGATTATACTGTTACAAAATAAGTTTTCCCGGTGGTGAGAAGCAAAGACAGTAAAACAGATATTTGCAAAAGTATGATCACGATGAACTGCAGCAATTTCAAAACACATTAGGTTTATGTTTACTTTATTTTATATAGATTTACACAGAAAAATATAGAGCTGTTTTTATGCATAATTTGAGAAATCTATGCCAAGAAACTTTGAATTACAGCATACATGTGTAGGATCAACTTTGTACTTTGAGGATATAACATTCAACTAGTATTGGCTAGAGTAGAGATTCACCAACATATATCTGTTTACGTGTTAATTCGACAGATAAAAGGTAGAGATTCACCAACATATATCTGTTTACGTGTTAATTCGACAGATAAAAGGTAGAGTTTCACCAACATATATCTGTTTACGTGTTAATTTGACAGATAAAAGGTAGAGTTTCACCAACATATATCTGTTTACGTTGTAATTCGACAGATAAAAGGTAGAGATTCACCAACATATATCTGTTTACGTGTTAATTTGACAGATAAAAGGTAGAGATTCACCAACATATATCTGTTTACGTGTTAATTTGACAGATAAAAGGTAGAGATTCACCAACATATATCTGTTTACATGTTAATTCGACAGATAAAAGGTAGAGTTTCACCAACATATATCTGTTTACGTGTTAATTTGACAAATAAAAGGCAGAGATTCACCAACATATATCTGTTTACGTGTTAATTTGACAAATAACAGGTAGAGATTCACCAACATATATCTGTTTACGTGTTAATTTGACAAATAAAAGGTAGAGATTCACCAACATATATCTGTTTACGTGTTAATTTGACAAATAAAAGGTAGAGTTTCACCAACAATTATCTCTTTTGGTTTACACTCCATTACACTACCCAGGCCATCCCTCACTTCCCCTCACCCTAAATTTTCAGAATATAAGAGATTATAAAGGAAAATTCAATCCACTTTCTCCAAAACCTAGAATTTAATTTCAAGATATTTATAACCCACAATTAACCATGCTGTTAAATAGGTTTGTTAAAACACCTAAGTACACCATTTACATGTTTTGTTTCATCACAGAATGGTTAATTACATGTAAATATGGATTTACAGTGGGGGAAAAAAATGATGTCAATAAAACTAATTACACCTTCATTAAACCTTATGACGTCATGACCTTTAAAAATAACTAAGGACAGAATGATTACCTGGGAAGCCATGTGTGAATGATTAAAATTTGTCCTTATTGTTTATTGCAAGAAAACTATATAACTAATAGTTATATATATATATATATGACAAATGTATAACTGAAAGTGGTCAATACAATTCTAATGCAAAACATTCAGTTTTCTTGGGGGCTCTATAAAAATATTCAAGCCATCAGCTTAGTATAATAATGATACATCATTTCTCATTGCTTTTACTAAAATTAAGTAAATTAATGAAATCCAGAATGTCCAGGAAAACAAAAGTTTATAAACTTGTCTGTAACCAAGAAACAGGCCTGCATAAATAAATGTTAATTTGAACAGGAAGTAAAATACTAACACTGACGAGATTTCAATTGTTTCTCTTCAATGACTTTATACTTATAGATTTATAACTTAGGTACAAAGTTAAGGATTTTTGAACATGGATGTGTGTATTTGCTACATGCCTGATTATTTTTCTTTATGTTATGATTGTCCCATGTATAGCTGTCACAAAATGACAAGGTAGTCATAATCAACCTATACAGCAAGATATAAAGATTTATCAGCATGCATGTACAACATGTTTACATGTAACTCACATGTGTTCAATATGTAAAATGTGTTTCTAGTATAGTGGCATGAACATCATATCAAACAATAAACAAGCAAAATATTTCATAAATTATGATTTACAAATTAATATGAATTTTTAGCATAAATCTTGGTTCTTTGGCAACCTTGTAAAAATAAAAAATGACAGAAGAGAAGCAAACATCCCATATTATTCTACTAGCACATGTTGCATAATATGAAATCAATACGTTACACTAACAGTATATGTTGGAATGTAGATATGAAGATGTATGTGACATTTGCTCTGTGTGTTGTAGAAATGCTATTAATTGCTAGTTACTATTTGTATATCCTATAAAATATAAAATGGTATATTACATACTGAAGCACTATTTTAAACAAGGGGCTGAAATCAATGGTAAAACATGTAGGATAATGCTGATTGAACTTAGTCATTTGATATTAATTCAAACTGATAAAAACTTTGAATAAAACAAATGCCATTTATGGTATGTTAATCTATATAAGAACTTTTCAATAAGTTACTGTGAACTATCAATAAGACATATTACTATTGACTGTCATTTAAACAGAAAATAAATCTACATACACATCTAGGATATAAGTTTCTTTGCAAACTTGATGATGATCAATATCAATACCATCTACAAGCACTCAGTTCAACTTGCAAATGGATTTCTATTGTTAGAACTTACAACAGGTACTTATTATTAATGGTTAATGTGTGTGGAAATTAAAAAAAATTAAAAACAGAATCCAACAAAGACTCTTTTACAGCTGGCCTGTTGGAACTTTCTGCAGCATGAATTTTTGACCAATTCATTGGTTAAAAGAATGATCCTGACCTAAAGAAGATCCCTAAACTTGTAAAGGCATGACAATGGGCAAATAATAACATACCAAAAGATTATAATAATTCAATTATACTTAACATACATAGACAGTAAAATCTTGGTAACCATAATGCAAAAAAAAAAAGATGTTGAAGAAAGAAAATCTTGACCAATTAAGATAAAACTGCATTCATTTTCCTGTTTATTTGATTTTGCATTTAATGTGTGGGACATACTAATACATTGATTCATACGAAACGTAACAAAATAATTCCAAAAACAATCTTGAACAGAGAAAAGTTGTACTAAGGCAGACCATTATATATTGAACTACCATCGAAAGCACTAGTGAGCATAACCAACTGTGACTTGCATTCAATGTGGCATCAAATTGACAAATGTTGATGTATCAATGGATATCTCTTCTGAAGTAATTTGAGAAAATACATACAACATTGACTCATGTACATTTGTATTAACCACATTCACTACATCTTTGGCAGTGCCTATTCCATATTATAAACCAATGATACACCACCATGAATTTATTATATAATCTTTTCAGACTCTATGAGTGGATTCAGAAACATGTGACCACGTTAATGATGACAAACTTAAATGGAATGCTGATGACGATTTCTATGAATTACTCAAAATGAACAGCAAAATACATGTCTGATATATAGCAACTGTCACACGTATATCATAATTAAAAGTTCAAAGAAAGATTCTTATTAAACCTGTCTAGTCATCTCAGTAAAGAACTAAATACCTCTATCAAAATAATTAGACACACCAATGAAACCAGCATTACATTTCGTATGAGGTGTGACACGTCCGCTAAAATATATCCCTACTTATACAGAGTAGGATAAATGGACGCAGAAAAAAATGTATGTTATCGCAAAATTAAGCGGATAAAGCTTAAGAAGCGTTATCTAACTGACTTAATAGGTTGGCTACCTGGCTTCGGGCCGCTTTGGTCACTACTCGATTTCCCCTCAGCCTCGGGTGCTTCCGAACCCTCAGACTTGTTTACATTTGTTGAGATTTCCACAGTATTGTCATCAGTCGAAGCACTGTTTATATCATTTGAATTTCCTGTTGTGTCCGATTGTTTAGCTTGCTCCTTTGACATTTTCTTGGTATAATAATAATCATTAAACACACAAACAATCGGTACTAGTTTTTTTTCAGTGTGGTCACTTGGTTTTCTTGTCCGCCATATTTATCGATTGTCAAATGACTCGCTCCTGATACTACTGTACCATCAATATACTCGCGTCTAACATCGAGTTATTTCCGAGGGGTTCCCGACGGGGTCAGCGGGAAAATACGTTGAAGAAAATACGAAAATACATTTTTATTTCAAGATTATACTATGTTTATATCATCATCAGTTTTATTCAGTTTTCTTTTTTTCAATGACTCCGTTCTTCCAAGTCTGTCTATTCCCATGCAGGACACCAAAAGAACTTAATTGGGACTCCTGAAGGGCAAGAGGGACGAAGCTCAATATTCAACAACAATCGCCATCTTGTGCAAAGTTCTGAAACTTGGGACGTGTTTCGAGTATGAAATAAGATATGTTTTACTTCGTGTAGAAGATACAGAACCGGTTATTGCACATCTAAAATCCCGTCGCCTTATCAGAGACTTAGCAAAAGTGGAAAACGACAATCACAAAAGTGCTATTTTGAGGACCAAAATACCGTTGAGTGAATGAAAACAAATCGGGATTCCACAGAAATTCGGTAGGACAGAGTCCTTAATATCAACATTAAGCTATTCATTTGTTAAGTGTCTTTTCATAAAAATAATCTGAAGGAATGAGTGAAGCAGTACTGTCCTAGACGACTTGGAGGTTGGCTTACAGTGATCATCGGTAGCTGGATACGAGATAAACATTGCAGATCCGGTGACAAAGCGAATGTGGATCAGCAACACTGATAAAGGAACGTGCAAAGATCACGATTTTCGGTAAGTAGATTTGTTATAAACATGTGTTTAAGGGTTTCGTCTGTGAATCTAGGGCAATGGATAACCCCGTATATCGGAGGGCTACCAGGGGATTCTGTCTGTTTTTCACCTCGTCCCCACTAACCCGGTAATGACAACACTGAATGTTGCAGTGTTTGGCTGTAATATTTGCTCTCCCTAAGAAACAGCTGCGACCTCGACTCACACTTGAAAACTGACGTGCGAGGAATATCTTTTCATGAAAAATTTGCCAAGATTTTTATCTGGTACTCTTTGCCCTTTCACGTAGCCCCCTTTATCGGGTTTATTTGACCGCAAAAGCGATTTCGTGGGAACACCTGCTCCCCAAAAATGGCATCTACCAATCAAAACCGGTCATTGGCTATTCCTTTAACCCCCAGCGCGTGATTATGTTTTATTATGTTTCGTGCATGTGCTTACTCTTTCGCTAGGTATTGTAAACTAGGCATATGTGTGTTGTGACGAGGAGGCTTGTTTTACTTGAATACGTTCTCCATAATGCCAAAAGTGGTAATGACACTTTTATTACCAAATGGATTGCCAGGGAGGTGAATACAACAGCCATTGACTATTGTTCTCACGGTATCAGGATGCAAATGTGTTTTCCCACGGGTGTTTCTTTCTAGTTTTCGAGTTACGTTACAACCAGACTTTCTCATGCGAATGTACACCAGTAGTAGACTTGTAATTGATTTCAGCAGCATGGTTCCTTAGTTTACAAGCGTGTTGGGAAATCTGACAGTTTGTGCTTTAAAGGAAATCGTTTCTTAGGCTAGTGGCCTAGAGTAAACTTCAAAAGACTCTCTTCTTTGCAAAGTAGGAGAAAAGCTGTCAGTAAGCGGCTAGCACTATGAAGACTTATATTTCAACGAATTCGGATTTTTAACTTACGGACCTGTGTTATCACAATGAATGAACAACAGTTATTTGTTCCCCAAGTAAGTTTGATTATTTTAAGGTTTTGATTGTGGATTTTATGAAATGAATAGCGGAAAGAAATGTGTTTTAAACTTGTCAACAAATCACTTCAATTGTACGGAAACAACACTATGGAGGGTATCCTTCCCGGCCATTGTCAGACAAGGGCCCCAGCCTTTCAGTGGTGTGAACAGGGACCACATTTGTTGCAAGGTCAGGGGCGTGGGAAAATTCTATGACAACTAAGAAAATGAGGTCTTTGTTCACATACAATACACTTTTATCAAGTTAAGTGCTTCTGGTAAAATGTTAGTATGAATCATATACTGTCAAAATATGTATATACTGTACAGCAGGTGATCAGATCAGGTTCAAATTGTGCTTATATATAAATTATTGTTGATTAACATTTCGTATGATGAAAGCGTAATCTACTGATTCCTAGCTAAAATTCTGTACAAAAAGTCCTGAAACATAAATAACCAATCAATAAGAGTTTGTTTCTGATTGCTAAATTTTATTTCAGAGATGTTTGTTAGAACTGACGTTAGATCATCAGATCCTTCAAAGCATAGATCATCAGATCCTTCAAAGCATTACTATTTATAAATGAAGTAAGATTTGAAAATTATAGTGTTGAAATGAATAGTAATTGCTTCTTCTGTCCAAGCTACACAAACACTAAAATCCTTTAATTTACATGTCACTTGTTCTTTTTTGTCCAATTTGTACAGATTGAAAATGTATAAATAGAACAATACATACCTATAGTGTCTATGTAAATGTACTACAGCTGGTGGATCTAATTGATGGGCTCCAATGCAACTATATCTTTATAACCAGGTGTTGACATATCCATTCATACTTGGTGTTGCTGTATTTGACAGATTGCTGTATTGACTGTATAATTGTCTCAGACAAAGCTAGCTAACATGTCTTGTACTGTGTACCCAATGGGACCAACATAAGCTACATATTTTTTGTTTGGGCTGGTACAGTTCTGACATTTGATGTGGCCCGAGGGTGTAATACTGCCTTTGAATGAAGGCAGAAACGGAGAATAAGTAATAACCTTTGTCCCTAGACAAACGTACATTGGAAATATTTATGATGTTATAATGTTTATATATGATTATTTTTTGTGACATTTCTTGCAGTACACTGAACAGTAACATTACACATGGGAATGTGTCGGCTGATAAAAAAAAGTATAATTCTTACAGTTGTTACAGATATTACTCATAATTATCTGAAGGTTTTTGAAGCCATCTTTTGTATTGATTTTGGTACTTATGAACTTTGGGAGGAGATAAAATTTACTAGAAAAAATTATTTTGAAATAGAAATGAATTACAGTCTAATTGATAATCCAGTCATTTTAACCTGGACAGTTGAAGATTAAACATCTATACTATAGATCTGAAAAAAAAACCAAATCATGACCATCGGCATCAATTTGTTATATTTATAACTATTCAAGACCAGCATTAGAAACAAACATTTTCATGATACAAGACTGTTTCACAAATGAAATCAAACTAATATTTGTACTTTTCTGGGGTATGGTTTATGATTTAAAATGCAATGTGTACATGAATTTTTTTTTATATCACAGCTAATATGTACTGATTATTTGTAAGTGAGTCTAATATTTAAAAATAGTAATTTGTAGTGTAAGAAATTGATTACTTCAGTAATATACAAAACTGACCATATAATATGCTGGCCGACCCAATTTTTACTTGTAATCAAGTCATTTGAAACCTTGAGATAAATTAATAGATTATTTTAACTAACTGAAACTGATTGGTATGTATGATTTTGAACATATTATATAAATATATTTGATAGATATTAAAAGTGAATGAATTAGTTTTAAGCAGTGATTAGAAATATCATTTCAGGATTATTGAATTACAATTTCTTTATCGGATTCGTTACCAATTAATTAAAAAGCTTTGAGTATTGGCAGAATATACAATAAAGATTGCAATACTGTACAATCTAAAAAAAACTAATGATTAAAGGAAAAGTTTAAACATCATTTGATCTTCTATAAAAACTTTCATTTTAGTGGGGGACTTATTTTCATTTATATTACAGGTTTTCTTCATCCATGAATTCATATATCCATGAACTGTTAATTTAAGTAGATTTATTGTGCTGTATTTATACACAAAGTGTCAAGGAAATAGTGATTCTTAAAATAATCCTGAAAATTGATCTCCACAAAAAAATATGGCATTACAGTATATCAAGATTTATTGTTGTTTATGTTAGGTTCAATCTTCAGTTTTCATTTTAGCAAAGAAATAAAAGAGGACATTATTTTTTTTAATTTGTTCACAGTTTCTACAAATAATTTAACAAAAATGATTTTGAACTACTGTTATTGAATTCACCAGCATTGAAAGTTTCAATGAAAGTGAAATTAATTCCGAAGGTTAGAACTTGCTAGAACTTGACACTGAGTCTTGTATAAATGAACATATGAAATTTGTAAATCAAGGTTGAATTTTTTATTGATATTTCATCATTTAGGATATACTGATTTGACTTGCATCAAGTGAAAAGCTGAAACAATGGGATGTATTAATGCAACAGACTGTTGACATTAGACACTAGGTGACTATAAGTATATAACTATGCTGAGTTATACACTGCTGTGATTTTAGTGTTAAGTTCCTAGTCCACAATGAAAACAACATCAATAATTTATCCAAGGAAAGGTAAATCCATGCTTCCTAATTACTGAGTATACGTAAGTCACACGTACACTTATAGGTAATAATACATACTGTATGTTACAATTACACTTACAGGTAATAATACATACTGTATGTTACAATTACAGGTAATAATACATACTGTATGTTACAATTACAGGTAAAAATACATACTGTATGTTACAATTACACTTACAGGTAATAATACATACTGTATGTTAAAATTACAGGTAATAATACATACTGTATGTTACAATTACAGGTAATAATACAAACTGTATGTTACAATTAAATGTAATAATACATACTGTATGTTACAATTACAGGTAATAATACATACTGTATGTTACAATTACAGGTAATAATACATACTGTATGTTACACTTACAGGTAATAATACATACTGTATGTTACAATTACAGGTAATAATACATACTGTATGTTATAATTACAGGTAATAATACATACTGTATGTTACAATTACAGGTAATAATACAAACTGTATGTTACAATTACAGGTAATAATACATACTGTATGTTACAATTACAGGTAATAATACAAACTGTATGTTACAATTACAGGTAATAATACATACTGTATGTTACAATTACAGGTAATAATACATACTGTATGTTACAATTACAATTACAGGTAATAATACATACTGTATGTTACAATTACAGGTAATAATACATACTGTATGTTACAATTACACTTACAGGTAATAATACATACTGTATGTTACAATTACACTTACAGGTAATAATACATACTGTATGTTACAATTACAGGTAATAATACATACTGTATGTTACAATTACAGGTAATAATACATACTGTATGTTACAATTACAGGTAATAATACATACTGTATGTTACAATTACAGGTAATAATACATACTGTATGTTACAATTAATTCAAAATATCTTCACTACAGGGTTAATCATTATCATCTCATTTAGATGTCTATTGATAAATATTGATTAATACATCTCACATTTAACTTTTGAATTTCCTTCAAAGTCAACCTAAGGGTTAATTGGCCCTCCCCACTTTTTAGGCGGTGCCCTGTTAGATATATTGGAGAGATGCTGGTACATCTACAACCACCTTGTTGACCCCAGCAAAAGAAGCTTTCTAAAGCCCAGATCTTTGTAGACTTGTGGTAATCTAATTGAGGGTAAATGATGCATAGCATTTCCCATGGCCTGGTTTTCCTTACAGCCTGGCACTGTACTACAAACTGCTTTACACGGAAACTATGTCAAACCTACTGTGTGTGTCACAGCTGTGTACTGGTAGTGTGTGTGTGTGTGTGTGTGATATATTTTTTCAATCTTAATTTGGAAATGACTGTTACAGTGATATTTATTTTTACAAGTAGCTGATCAGGATTGGAGCATGAAAGTTGACTTTTAACATGTTTCAGACAAACTTAAAAATTTTGCTAAGAAATTGCTGCACTGTTCATGAAAATAGTGATACAAAGCATGGTCAAATATCCCATAGCTAGTTATTGGCAGTAGAAAGTGTTATCCATCAATGAGAAATTTAATGAGATGACCAGTCTCTGACTATGGTAACTTTGTAAACAATAGTGCAGCAGACAGACAAAAATGTCAGAGAAATTTTCTTCTTAAACTGAACACTAGAAACCATTCTATGTAAACTTGAACCCATAAAACTGTTAAAATCAAATGAAATTAGCAGAGAATCCACATCATCAAGTGGATACATGTTCGTGGTTGGAACAGCTGTTATGATATCACTTTTTGATATAACATAGCATATAATTGTACATGCATGTATAAAGGATAAGTTTGATTTCAACTTGTAAGTTTTGGAGGTGAAAGTTTGTAATGGGTCCAAGTCACTGAGGCATGAATACAGACAATGACCCATATGCACATGCAGTCTTACACATGTACCTGTGTCAACACTCCTCAATAAGAAAACCATGCAGATATATGACGAGGATTAGTTTGATAAAAATTATGAACCAGACTGGCAATTCCACGGGAAAAAGCAATGAAACAAAATGACTTGAAGGATTCTGAGAGTGGATATCTCATATTTTATTTTCAATATGATTGAGTGATTGGGAAAGTTCCTTGCTTGGATTGGTGGTATAAAATGTTAATGAAAGTTCCTCACTTAGATTGATGGTATAAAATGTTAATGAAAGTTCCTCACTTAGATTGATGGTATAAAATGTTAATGAAGGTTCCTCACTTAGATTGGTGGTATAAAATGTTAATGAAGGTTCCTCACTTAGATTGGTGGTATAAAATGTTAATGAAAGTTTTTCGATTGGATTGGTGGTATAAAATGTTAATGAAAGTTCCTCGCTTAGATTGGTGGTATAAAATGTTAATGAAAGTTCCTCGCTTAGATTGGTGGTATAAAATGTTAATGAAAGTTCCTCGCTTAGATTGGTGGTATAAAATGTTAATGAAAGTTCCTCGCTTAGATTGGTGGTATAAAATGTTAATGAAAGTTCCTCACTTAGATTGATGGTATAAAATGTTAATGAAAGTTCCTCACTTAGATTGATGGTATAAAATGTTAATGAAAGTTCCTCACTTAGATTGATGGTATAAAATGTTAATGAAAGTTCCTCACTTAGATTGGTGGTATAAAATGTTAATGAAAGTTCCTCACTTAGATGGTATAAAATGTTAATGAAAGTGGTATAAAAATGTTAATGAAAGTTCCTCACTTTGATTGGTGGTACAGAATGTTAATGAAAGTTCCTCACTTAGATTGATGGTATAAAATGTTAATGTTAAGGTTTTTCCAGAATGTTAATGAAAGTTTTTCGATTGGATTGGTGGTACAGAATGTTAATGAAAGTTCCTCACTTAGATTGGTGGTACAGAATGTTATTATGGGATGTAGGATTTTCATTACAACTTTGACATTTACTTGAAATTATCAGACTGCAAATTTACAAGACCAAATTGTTGATAAAATGCAAAGATGATCACTATCTCGTTTAATTCATAATTCTGAAATTATCTTTGAGGCAAAGCAAACTATCCAATTTGTATATGTTTTGTGTACAAATTGAGCAAATTGTCAGAATAATGAACCCCAAACACTCTCTCTTTTGTTTACTTTGTGGTTATACCAGGTTTATCAAAGGTACAAATTAGTGTCCCTATTGTCCTAAGGTCAACATAACACAATTGCCATATGAACAGAATGATGATCAGTGTAGTTGTATGTTACCAAACTCTTTCCTGCCATGTAAAGATATATGAAAAAAGTCTAATCTAAAAACGACCTGTTGTAGAGGAAGACATAATTTACCAGGGAGAAAAAATTTCTGCCTGAAAAAAAACAAGTATGACACATTCCACAGTGGAATTGGCAAATCAGTGTACAAGGACCACCATCATTTACTAGCACAAACACAAGTCCTGTGTAAAAATCCTTCTCCAGCCTCTGATCACAAACCTTGTTTCACATAAAACTTTATCTCGGGAATCCAACCAACTTGTTCTCCCACCACTAACAGTCACCTAGACTGTGTCGAGGTGTTTGTTTATACTTCTGGTCTCTGATAACATAATTGTCTACAATTATTAATAGAAGGTGTTTCTGAAAATTACAGCTAAATATCTTATGATTTATCTAATGCAGTGCATGAAAAGTCATGTCAAGAAAAGTTCCCAGGGTCTTAATCCAATATAAGGTTACAAAAAAATATGTGAAAACCATGATGGTGGATCCTCGCCAAAACTGTTAATATCTATGTAGATATATGGTTTTAGCATTACTGGGGGAAAACTTTAAAGGGAGATGATTATTGAATATTTGTGTTATACCAATGTGGGTTCATGGCCAAGGGTTACAAGATATATTAACATGTGAATATACCTGTCATGGCTTGATACTGAACAATTCAGTTGTATTTATTATGTCAGTGATTTTAACACTGTTGATGGATGTTTTGTAGATATTTCCCTTTGATGAGATGATTGATTAGGACAAATCATCGATTAGATTAACTATAAATTTGAAGTGATTGATTCCTAACACTCAGGTTTATTTTTCATAAAAATTTGTTATCTGCATGGATACAAAAATACAAATTTCTAACCTGCTTAGTGGTTATGCTTGTGTGGGAAAATTGACAACATTGTGTGTATATATGTAGATACAGGCCTAGATTTCAACGTTAATGTCGGTTTTTATTCACTTCAGTAGTCTAAGATGTTATTGAAACTTTATCACTTTTATTTACCTTTTGTGATTTTAGGAGAAACCTGTTCTGACCTGGTTTGAAGACTGTTAAATTTGTACGATATAATTAGTAATGTTCTTACGATTTTTTGATGACAAGTCTAGAATTCCAAAATTTTGAAAGTCCCAATACAAAGGATATATAATGAGTGTGAATCCCACTGCGGAAGTGTAGGACTATAAGAGAAATCACTGTCTAATAATGACCTAATCTAAGACAAGAGCTTACTGGGTAAGTAAGTTGTGGGGTTTCAAACGTTATCAACAGCAGGTACACTACGAAACTGAACTGTTCTGGGTTTTCCCATCTCCATTTCTAGAAATTTAATGCTATTGTTTATGCAAGAGAAATATACATAGAAATGTGTAAATATGTGTAGGTGTTAAGGTCAAAGTTCATTGCTTTATATTTAATGTACATATAATAGAATGTGGAGGAGTAAGAGTTGTTATCATTGGTCAATAAAGGGTGTATCAAGGTAGTGTTGTACATAAACTGTCATAACAACTCATGAAAATGACACAGCAGTCTTGTGAATAACATTTCCAATGTAATCTTTATGTGTAATTGAATAATGAAACGTATTTGTTATACGGTTGACCAAGTATTGATTTTTTTTTCAAAAAAGTACAGACTGGATCAAAAACTAAGAACTTGTGCTAATGTTAGTAATACTTGGTCTGATTTTGATCGACCATGAAAGTGTACAAGGTACGACTGTATGTCATTGTACAACATCACTATTGCATGAAGTCAGCTGAGATTTTCCATTTACTGGGGTTCATTAGATCATGTATTCTTTACTCTTGATGTTGTAACATTTAACAAGTCTAATTTCAGAGCTGTTATATAAACATACACAATTTTGATGTATAGAAACTTGGAGTTGCAATATAAAATAGGTCATGTAACTAAAATATGTATTTTGTATGTGACATTATATTTCTATATATTAACTTTGATGTTTTTTTTTCATTCCTAAAGGATACATATGGCTACAGTGTAGGACCAGACCACTTGGCCAACACTGAGGTCCTTCTGTCCTGTTCCCAGTCTGCTCCCAATGGCCATCCGATTGGCTTTCCGACCTCAAACGGGGACAGCTCTTACCTGCTCAACGACGCACAGACAATGTACAGTCCGCAGCAACTCAGGGGCCCAGTTCCCAGCCTGGGTGGGATTAACCACACCCAGCGACATCTAAAGACTCACATGGCTCAAAGCAGCTTTGAGAATCCAGTGGATCTGTCCAGTGGTAAACTTGTTGGCTTAAATAGACATGTGAAGGAGGAATCAGCACATCATCATGGCTATGGTGGTAACCATGCAACAGTTACTTCTTCCATGACGATAGGGATACCCAGCCAGTCTTGTGGTAAGTGTTACCTCCACAAATGTATTTATCCTAACCTAACCAAGCCCGTTACACTTAAGTATATTGGAAAATCATATGTTCTTGTGTTAAGCATGGAAAACAAATCTGCTCCATTATTTTGCAATAAAACTATTAATATTGAGTGAAAATAATTTGTTAAAATTTAGAAATAATTTTGCATTCATGTAAGTGATTTTCTTGTAGATAAACAAATTGTAAGATACTTTCATACATTCTAAAGTATTTGGACAGTTGTAATTCTCTGTATGAATTTCCCAATATTCCTACTCCTATTATTTCACCTTAAGAATTTAGAAAATAGAAATTCTCTATTTCAGTGTTTTAGCAAAGTCATAATTTCAAAATGTTTTCCATCAGGCCTTGTGTCTTTCCACTCTCCATCCTTAAAAGGTTATTTTAAACTGTTGTCTTTCCACTGTCCATCCTTAAAAGGTTATTGTAAACTGTTGTCTTTCCACTGGCAATCCTTAAAAAGTTATTGCAAATGCTATTTATTGAAGCACTGGATGGATTTATATCAAACTTCTTATTAAGGCACTCCTTGGTCTGTAGTTGGACCCTTTTAATTTTCTGACTGATCAGAAAAGAGAATGATTGACAGGAGCTATCTGGCATTTTGATTGTTACAGTTAAACGTTGATTTTTCTGGGAAAGTGCTAGGTTTCATATGGAGGTTCCCTGTAGTCATTTTGACTCACCAAGAAATGACTTACAGTTTGTTAAGGGGAATGTCATTGACTTCTAATACATCCCTGGAAATGTGTGGAAACAAAAATTCATACATGTATGTATATATTTTGCTATCATGTGAAGATGACAAGTTTGGACACCTAAAAGTAGATGTTGTAGTAGTGGTAGTTGCATTGCATAAGCCTATAATTTACCAGGCCATAGATGACAGACCATTGTCAAAAAAAAAAAAGATGAAATATTGGAAAATGAAGGGTATTTGTTAAAGCTATAGAGATTTCCAGTTTGATGTGTATGAGTGACAAAAGCATTATAGATGACTGTTACTTGAATGTCATTTCTTTGACAGTGTAGCCAATAAGGGAAATTGATTGTTTGAGCATTTGCCTTTATCAATTATTCATACACACATTACAAGTCCACATTTAAGTGAAGGTTTTCTGCTTGTCATCCAATAGAGGCTATTTGAAGGATAAAAAGTTTAGCGTAACATGTGATGTACATGTGTTGCCACATTTTAGATAGATAATTAATATTACTAATGATTCAACACATTTTTTCAGCAGTTGGTGGTAATATTATGTATATCATTTAAAGTTTTTAAGAATTTTGAGTATTATAGTCATGAATTTTTAATTAGGCATTTTTTGCCTTATACTAATTGTGAAGCAAACTGATGTGACTGCTATATTAATCAGTGTTAGAAAAGACAGTGGTTTAGTAGATCAAATGGACTCAATTCTTCAATTACTTTTTACCATCCAGTGTGGATTTGATCCAATTTGTAAATTGCAACCAGGTCCTTGTAAATGCTGATGACTTGTGTCATCCCTCTCCTTTCCCCACCAATCCATTGTTTTGTTTGCCCAAGGCTCCTATACCAACTCCAGTCAGTGTGGGAAAATTTGAAAGTGACACAGGTGACGGTTTGTAAATTATCAATAATCTGGTGCGACCTACGTTTGTTGGCGTACTGACTAAGACAAGCCTACCTGTAACTGTTGCTGATAAGCCTGCCCTCCAGAACAATGCTATCTAAACTCCCATTGGAGATCAGGCCTTTGTCTTAGCTTCTGTCTGCCAAGCTACAAGTCTTTTTAATACCTCCATGGATATCAACAAAGGAGTAATTACAATGTAGAGTGAAATTTGACGATTCCTTTTGTACATGTTTGTGAGATGTAATTCAATCAAGTACCCTGTGACATAAGAAGAGGAACTTAAGGACTGTGTTGTTGAAATTTCTATCACGTTATCAACATGTTAGCTCCTCACCAGGAATTTCTATTTGACGATTTTCAGCAATATGCTTTTGAAACTCCATTTGGTTATGAAAGTAAGTTTTAATAGATTACAGCAATGTTATGTATAGTGACCAGAATATTGGCAAATCTGTTTAAGATAACATCAATGTTGTTTGCTTTTTTTCCTTCTTTATGTTTTGAGTGGAAGGGTTTGTTTCACTTTCAGGTTAAATCTTCAATGGAAAAGTGGTTGGTCAGTGATGACAATGTATTTCCAATTTTTGTCCAGTATGTTTTCTTGCATTATGTATAAAATATTTAATTTAAACGCATTGTAAATACATTCTTTTTAAAACTTTCATATCTGAAATAACTTTAAAAAAATTGTTAACACTGTGTATTTGATATTTTAATTAAATTGAACCTGTTTTGTATGCATCAGCATTTGTACTGAGTTTCCAAGATTTATTTATAGATGTTTTCATTTAAATTTTCATACAAGAGTGTATATTAGCGTTACGCTTCATTTTCCATATATGTAGCATTTTCAAAGGTGAAATTCAAAGAATTGATGAATGAGAATGAATGTTATAATGATATTGTGTCCTGGTAATGTTTCCATATATATAGTAGTTTTGATCATGACCCGAAGTGTGTAAAGACGCCTGTGAATGTATTGATTGCAGCCCTTGGGAAAGTTCTTCTGATGACCTAATAGGTCAAACATTTATAGTGCTATTGACTATTCCTTTAATTTGTATTGATTATTTTTCTGTACTTGAAATTGTAGCCTAAGAATTTGAGAGGAAATGTTTTTGTTAGTTCAGTCAAGGAGACAACGTGGTTTGTAATTTGTATCAGTATACATAAAAGTGCTGTATGTATATGATCTGAACTGAGTTTCTTTTTCTTACAAGATTTTATGAAACAAGTCTTAGAAGTTTTTATATGTGTGAGTCATGGCAAGCAGGTATTTTTAAACTTTTAAAATCTCATGAAATGAAAACAAATGTAAAATACCTTTTATCAAGTAACTCAGAAAAGTTACATGTTATCAGGCTCCAAAGTCAAAATGTGGATGACAAAATCAGTTGGAGACAGGTCCAGTTTTATTACACTATTTTAAATTCATGACATTACGTCTGCATTGTCCACTTTGTGACATCACAATCAATTTCTGGAGTGCACAGCCAATGAAAAATGGTTCAGGGTATATTGCACCAGTGTTGTAGTGACATGTGCAAAAAATATTACATGGCTGAAGTCACTGGATAGCAGGTGAATTTATTGATAAAGTGAAATATTACGACTAATATACATGTTTATCTACTTTTTGTACCGGTATAAACTGCCCTATGTGACTTTATATTCTATTTTTTGTACCCGTATAACACTGCCCTATGTGACTTTATATTCTATTTTTTGTACCCGTATAACACTGCCCTATGTGACTTTATATTCTATTTTTTGTACCCGTATAACACTGCCCTATGTGACTTTATATTCTATTTTTTGTACCCGTATAACACTGCCCTATGTGACTTTATATTCTATTTTTTGTACCTGTATAACACTGCCCTATGTGACTTTATATTCTATTTTTTGTACCCGTAAAGCATTACGCTATGTGACTTCAAATATTCTATTTTTTGTACCCGTAATGCATTACGCTATGTGAATGTGTAATTTTTTGTACCCGTATAGCATTCCTCCATATGACATGTTCTTTTTTGTAGTGGTACCAGTAGAACATTAAACAATGTAAGGTTGTTTTGTTTTTCTGTACTGTTATAGCTTTACTGGAAAAACAGTTGATAAAGCACTCTCAAATTCCTTATACATGTAGGTTCATCTTGGAACCTTGTTGTGCTTGATTAGATCCTTTTGGAATTGATCACGAAAAAAAACATGGCTGAAAGATGGCAATCTTGAATTTTGACAGTCATAGTTTGTGATCACGATCTGTAGAGAAGTGTTTGATAGATCATTCTCAAATTTCAAATAGGTTTGCCTTGGACAAGACTAGATGTGCATGGTCTATTTTTTGTACTAGTCAGAAAAACTAAAATGGCTGATTGGCAGTCATCTGGTTTTTAAACAGTCATAGTTTTTATCGCTATTTTTTAAGAAATGCTGGATATAATCAATATTATATATTTCCTATGAAGATTCCCCTTTGTGACTAGATGTGCTTAGCTAATTTTGGAACTGATAGAAAAATTTTAATGACTAACAGGCCATAGCCATCTTCGATATTGGCTTTGAAAGTTTGTTATAGCTATTTCTTGGGGAGTATTGGACAGGTCTTTCATATGTAGCTTCCTCTTAGTCTCTTGTTGTGTCCTTTGATTTTGGGACTGATCAGGAATCAAAATGGCTGACTGGCAACTCTCTAAATTTTGTTACTTGAGTATTGTTTTCACTATTTCTTGAGGAAAACTGGTTGGATATTTATGATATTTTAACTTCTTAACCTTCTTAGTGTTGATCATAAGTTGACTTTCAATCTGTATGTATGTGAAGTGAATAGAAAATATTAAGTAAATTTTCTGGATAAAGGATTGAAAGGTATAATGATATTAAACTTTTTTGTTTGGTCTCTTTTCAGATGCATCTCACATGGTGGCAGGGTCCCTTACACCACCAGAAAAAATCAATGGAGAGTTAGTTCCCATGGCAACTTCCAGCCCACTCAGCATTAGTACGATAGCCCAGACTCTAGCAGCACCCCCCAGTCCCATCTCTACTCCGTCCCCAAGGTTTTCTTCTAATGGCTATGAACAGCATCCTCCACATCGAAGGTACTATAACATTTTGCTTTTCTGAGAACAGCAAATATACCAAACCCTGATGTTCAGTTTTCTTTACATTAAGTTAGAAATGTTGCATTGTCTTCTAATTCAATTGGAATGTAGCTGAAGCCCTAATTTATTGTGAAGATATGTAAAGATTTTTAACATCTTCAATAATGTATGGTAATTACACTAAAAATCAGTTTGAAAAATAAATGAATATGACTATGTATAATATTGATTTATTGAAGAATCTATGAATTCATGACAACCAGTAATACTTACATTAAAACTCTTGTTGTTAAATACAGCCAACAGGGTTACAGAGTATGACCTCTTGTAGTTAAGTACAGCAGTCAGTGTGATAGTTTGTGACCTCTAGATGTTAAATTCAGCAGCAAGGGTGACAGTGCATGACCTCTAGTAGTTAATTATATTCAGTGTTTAATGAGATGAAAGATATATATATGTAAATTTATTACAAATTAGTATTTGGTTGACTAATATTTGTTTTGTGTAATTTGTGCAGGAATTCGCAAAAAACAGTAAAAAAACAAAGCAAGAAAAAATCTAAAAACAAAAATAGAATTAATTATATAAAATTTGAAACCTGAGACAAATTTGTGAGAAATCGTAAACATGTTCATTATCCTTAAAGGTCATGCTTTTACCAAATATATAATGTTACACTTGTTCCTCAACCTAATGTATGGTTGCATATGTGATACAAATTGGAGCAATGTACATGAAAGGTCACTAATTCAAAGGCAGTGTTATGTGAATTATACATAAGCATTGATGCACTTGCAGTTATGTATAAAATGTAGGTCCATAATACATCCTCCTGCAGCTGTTTGACAAATGGTGTCCTACTGATACAACCCAGCCAAATAAAGTGATTGTTAGGTCAGTGGATTTGGTTATTGTAAACTTACATGGAAGGAAAAGGTACTTGAAAGCATTTTACTATTCTTTAGAATTTTATGCAGCACAAAGAAAACTTGTCTGTCACTCAGTTGAAGAATTCAGTATAACACCTTGAGATTTTTGAGACAACTCATTTTCTTTGTCGTATTTGAACAGGTGAAGGTCGTGGAAGCTAACAGGTGTAACATCTAATATTGATAGCGGAAATAGACACAAATCAAATATCAAAATTTTGCACCATCAATCTTACAATAATTTAGTATGTAAAACATTGCTAAACTTTTGGTTTCTTCACAAAGAAGCATGTGATACTAAAAAAGATTCCAGCATGCTTAACTTGGTGTCTGATAATGTCCATCAGATTACAGATGGTCAAATCGACCGGCAGCTGCTTCTTAATAGAAAACCCTGAAAAGGTCAATGAATCAACTTTTGTACAACAGGTTATATGTTAACCTGTGTATACAGGAGGTTATTGATCAACTTGTGTACAACAGGTCAAAGGTCAACCTGTATATACAGGAGGTTATTGATCAACTTTTGTACAACAGGTTATATGTTAACCTGTATATACAGGAGGTTATTGATCAACTTTTGTACAACAGGTGAACAGCTAGTTAGAGGTACAACAGGTTATATTGAGGTCAACTACAACACTTCTCTTAGACTTAAATTGTGTTAAGAAGGTTAACATGCGAGAGGTCATATTATGTATTGAGACGGTCAGAGAGTCAATTTCTGATAAGGCAGCTGTCATTTTAAAACATGTTGTATACATTAGTTTTAAGGTAAATTGCCAATTAATATAAAGTTAGGCTTCAATTTTAATTAGGTCAACTATCATTTAACAACCGGTTAGGAGGTCAATTTTAACAAAAAATTAGTAGGTGAAGTCATCTACATGTAAGTTACAGATACAGGAATAACTTACAGGACTAGTATGCTGCGTATTTTTAACAGACTATAATGTCCTATTATGACAAAAGATTTCTTTTTTTTTTGTACTGAAATTTTGTGGTGTATTATATAAACCTTTCTTAAGGCTTGCTACACACATTACTTCTTTACACAAGTTTGATCAATTGTTGACAAATCGTATAGAATGTATATGTCAAATTGTAAACTAATGTTCTGGTGTAATGAATAGAGTGCACACCATTTTCTGTTAAAGATCTATAGAAAATTGCACAAGGTATCTAGTAGATTACAGTTTGATTAGAGTTTGTACACTGAGGGGCTGTGAGAAAGTAAGGACATTGACTTCTCTGTTCGTCATATACCTATCACTAACATCCTGTACTTGTGTTGTTTCTTCTATCTCTGGTTCATACTGTATTTGTGCATCAATAAAAAAAACATCTGACCAGAACTGAAATGAAAGGTATTTATTAAAGATTAACAAACTATTTCACTTATATTGTATATGAGATGAAAATTACTGAGGTGGGTGATTCAAAGTCCATGTTTTAGCCTTTAAACTTTTGTTTTTTAAGAGAATTTTCATCTTCGATGTATTTATGATAAAGTGCAGTTGATGTAGTAGAAGTTGTGATTTAACTCTCTTTGTAAAAATTAACAAGAACCATAATAGTGTTAGTTTTAGTCTTCCTACCAGACCAAGTTTGAGAGTATCTGACAGGTATTTCGCTTGTCAATAGCTAAATATGATTTAAATGAAGATCAGTTATCAATTTGGTGAAGCTGGAGTATATTCTGATCCTCCTGGTGCGGAATAAAAACATGAACATATTGTACAATATGGATAAGAGGAGAGAATGCATTTCTGTCTTAAAGTCAGTAAACACTTGTTCCCTTATATGAAACAGACTTATTTACTGATGGAATGGTATCCTTTGCTTTGCCATTCCCCAAAACAGATATGTTACTGATGCTGTATTCAAAACTAGGTTTTTGATGAGAAGAGGATAAATATGTCGCAGACTAACAAGCTGTAGTACACGCATACAAGTATATATACTACCTTTGAACAGCCAAGCCTACTTGATCTGTAAATGAAACCCCAGCTGGGCACCTCTTTCCTTCCTACGGTGTCAAAGGCAAATGTCAGACCTTATTCATTATTTTTAAGTTTTGCTAGGATCATAAATTCTTTGGGTTGAAGATGGAGAAACATTTATAATATTTCTTTATGTTAATGAGAGATGTTGATTTTACTGAAACCAAACTGTTTCAGAGCCTAGTTAATGTTGTTTTTATAATTGAAGAAAAACTTTTGAAATGTAAAAAAAGTTTGTCTATAAAAATCAAGTTACTGATGATGAATTACTCTAGAATGATGATAGCTATCAGTGACCTTACAATTTAACAGATCATTGATTTAAGACCTATAAATTAATTTATGGTGTACTTAATGTATTTTAGAATGCCAAGCATATTCAGGAATGGTTAGAGTACATATAGATTCTGTTTTAATGGACCATTAATTGAGTGTCAGTGACCAAAATATTTAATGACTAACAATAAACTCGGTTTAAAACAAAATTAAATTGATGACAACTTTAAATTAGAATTCACATTAGATTTTCTTTTTTTTTTCAGTCAGTACCAAGACCAGAGACTTACAAGGTAAGATTGTGACATAAGCACCAGCCTTTTAGAATACGAACAGTAAATATGATTGCTTTTTGGATGCATTCATCAAGGGGATTGTAGAATTCTCAGTTGATAGAAATTTAAGTCCTGCATAGATATCTTTTAGAATTATATATTTCATTTACAGGAAATTAGCAGGCCGTGTGTCCTTTATATTTGGGTAATACGTTTTATATCGTGTTGGTGTTTTTACCTGCCCATTAGTATAGGTATGAATGGGGAAATGAGAAGATGATCTGTGAAGACAAATTTCAAGATCACCTATTGTTGACCACAGGTGACATTTCATAGGGACTGGTTACCTGCTAACGTTAGCTTCCTCAGAGTTTATATTTTATTATCCTAACAATACTTTTTGCCCTACTTTCTTTGCTGATATGCCGTTTTGTATAATCTGTACAGGCTAGGACGATGATATATAAAACATAATGAATTATCAATACAGAATAAGATAAATCATTATTTCAATTGCACTAACTAGCTGGTTTATTGTTTCTTGTGACCTACTGTGATAATGTTATTTTTTGTCCATCATCGTCCGCTGTGCATACTTAAACAGTATACAATCTTAACTTATTCTGGATTTTTATCTTGTTTTTATGCATTTGATTGTTAAAATAGTTTGTCAGAAATTTATATCAAAGGATTAAAAGAAAGTGTAATGATTTGAATTAATTGGACATCTTAGGTTAGAAAAAGTAGATTTAAAGACCCATTACCTTGATTTATCAAAATTGAAGTTAATTGGGTAGAAATTAAATTTTTGAAGCAGTCATGCATGAGAAACTTCAGAAATAATTTGATCAGATTACAGAGCAATAAATGTTGTGAATTTCTGTTGCAGAGAAGCGATGAGAACCTATTTAAAAGACAGAGGTGACCAGATACTTGTAATATTACATGCAAAAGTTGCACAAAAGTCATATGGAAATGAAAAAAGGTGAGAAACTTGTGATTAACACTTCATATTTGTTTCAAATAATGCTCCTACTAGGACAACTTAATGTTAATATTGTGGTTCACTATAAATCTTCACAAAAGACTGTTTAAGTAAATTCATAACAAATATTCTTGTATATATATGGACCTCATTCCTTGAAGTGTTGATTTCATTATCTATGGTATCATTTACAGATTTTTTTGTCCGCCTCCCTGTATATATTTATTTGGAAATGGATGGAAGAAGAAAAAGGAAGAACTGGAGAGGGAAGCCACGACAGATCATGACTCTATTGTGTGTGCCTTCATGGGGATTGGCAACTCAGACCAGGAGATGGTACAGCTAAACCTCGAGGGAAAGGTGAGTCCTGTCACTTGTTCTTAGGGAAAGTTCTAAGGGAAATGTGGGTCCTGTCACTTGTTCTTAGGGAAAGTTCTAAGGGAAAGATGGGTCCTGTCACTTGTTCTTAGGGAAAGTTCCGAGGGAAAGGTGAGTCTTGTCTCTAGTTCTGTAAAGATAGGCGAGTCTTGTCACAAATTCTGAGGGAAAGGTGAGTCTCGTCAGTAGTTCTGGACTATGTTCTATGTGATAAGAATTTTAATCACATTTATCAAAAGCAACACAGTAAAACATGTATTCCAACATGGCCCTTCTTTCCTGGTTATTGTCTCTCGTGTTTATATATTATTATTGTTATGTCACTGGTAACTTAACAAATGGTTTATATGGGAAAATAAAAAGAGGTGGAGGAGTCCAACGTCCTGTGAGTGGTACTGGTTGGTAGATGTATTGGTAGAAGAATCCTAATGGTTTATCTGTTTATGGTCACCTATATTTCCGTTCAGTGATATTGTCCTTTTTTACAGCAAAAAAGGTTGATATTGGTTCTGTGATATTTTACCTGGTATTGCTGTTTTAGAGATAAAAAAGGTTGCATTATTTTCCCAAAATTAAAGAAAATTACTGACTCGTGTACTGAAAGCTACATACCGTAAAAACCCATGTAATGTCCGCACTTTTTTTCACCGAAAATCAATCCAAAAAAGGGGGTGCGGACATTACAGAGATATAGAGGAAATGACACTTTTTCCTTCCGACAATTCATATCATATCTCCTTGAATTGTGTTCTTAAAAGCCAAGCATACCTTATATTATCGTTCTATGGTTTTTTCTATGATGTTTCCTCAACCAAACATGATTATTTATGATTATTTATTATAGTTTCCATGGTTAATTCCTTCCAATTTCTCGTTACAGGTTCGTATTGTGTCGTCCTTCGTAATAGGAAGCCATTTTGTTTGACTTTGTCACATGAATAAAGTTAGAGTTATTCCCCTTTCCCCATTTTGATTATGGATCGTTTATCAGAAAGTCTTAATACATAGCAGGCCGGTTTAATAGCGTTTCTCGAAACCCCAGAAGTCGTCGTCGTCACTGTGGAAGAACTCCTCGGCGTTGAAGTTGTCTTCCTCTGTCTGGTCGTTGTAATAAATGGCGTTCTCGTCGTCTGATGGTGTGTCAGTAGGGTCAGTGGCGCCGTGGGTCATGGGCGGGTCATGTTACTGTATAGTTATCGTTAATTGGCTAATCACACGCTGTCACTCACTCACACTCGAGGTGAGGAGACGACCCAAGCTGTTTATAACACTGCTGGGCTAACCCTTATCAAAACACCAATTATCGAAATGAGGACTTGTCATACTGGTAAGCTTACTGTACCATCATGGAGAATAACTGTTGTTATAAACAATTAAGTGAATTCTTGAATGGTACCTGTAAGTTATACACAATGCGACATGCTCTCGGCCATTACGACATTAGCGTACGTGAAATGAAATCGGCAGCTTCAATTTGCATTTTTTACCCGCGGACATTACATGGAAGGTGGGTTTTTTCCCCAGATTTTTGTGTTAAAAAAGGGGTGCGGACATTACACAGATGCGGACATTACGTGGGTTTTTACGGTAGATGAAATTATGGTAGAAGAATCACTGCTATTGTGTAAATTGGTAAAGTACTTGTACACTGCCATAATTGTGCTTGATTAAAATTGCTGCCTTATTTTTCTGTTTCAGAATTATTGTGCGGCAAAGACATTATATATATCAGACTCTGATAAGAGAAAGCACTTCATGTTAACAGTGAAGATGTTCTATGGATGTGATCAAGAAATTGGTGTCTTCAACAGTAAACGTATTAAAGTTATATCAAAGCCCTCCAAAAAGAAACAGTCGCTGAAAAATGCTGACTGTAAGTATGGAGTGATGGTGTATTAGTCTGAAATATATACAGGTGAAATAATTAGTGAGCTTGAGTATGACAGAATCAGTTTAATGATAGACATGTGAGAGTATCAGCGGAATTATCAATGTTTGTGAGAGAATTGGCTTAATTATAGACATGTGTAAAAATTAGGTAATTGTAGATACATGAGAGAATGTGCTTAATTATAGAAAATTGAGAGGATTGGCTTAGTTGTAGCCATTTGACAGAATAAGCTTAATTATAGACATACGTGAAATAAGCTTAATTATAGATATATGTTAGAATCAGCTTAATTATAGACATATGTGAAATAAGCTTAATTATAGACATATGTGAAATAAGCTTAATTATAGATATATGTTAGAATCAGCTTAATTATAGACATATGTGAAATAAGCTTAATTATAGATATATGTTAGAATCAGCTTAATTATAGACATGTGAAATAAGCTTAATTATAGACATACGTGAAATAAGCTTAATTATAGATATATGTTAGAATCAGCTTAATTATAGACATACGTGAAATAAGCTTAATTATAGACATATGTGAAATTATATATTTATAATTATAGATATATGTGAAATAAGCTTAATTATAGACATATGTGAAATAAGCTTAATTATAGATATATGTTAGAATCAGCTTAATTATAGACATACGTGAAATAAGCTGAATTATAGACATATGTTAGAATCAGCTTAATTATAGACATACGTGAAATAAGCTGAATTATAGACATGTGAAATCAGCTTAATTATAGACATATGTGAAATAAGCTTAATTATAGACAGATGTGAAATAAGCTTAATTATAGACATGAGAGAATCAGCTTAATTATAGACATATGTGAAATAAGCTTAATTATAGACAGATGTGAAATAAGCTTAATTATAGACATGAGAGAATCAGCTTAATTATAAATTTGAATGGGCTTTATTTGTTTAACCGTTGGACTGGTATTAGACTGTATGTACTTTCAGTATGAATGCAATCGGAATGACATGTAAATTGAATAATGTCAATTAGGAATTAGCGTTATTGTAAAAGAACATTCCGTAAAACATATCAACGTTCCATACATGTGCATTTATTTTGACAGCATCTTTGTTGTAGAAAAAATATTATAATCTAGAAAGGGGGAAAATAGTTCTGTGTTATTGAAATCAATGAAACTGTGAAATCATGGCCAGCTAAAGTAATCCACTGGTAATATACAGTAGCCGAATAGATATTAATTCTATTCAAAGTAAACAGTAACCTGGCAACAGGAAGTTAAGAAAATATTAAGATTAAATTCCTGTTTAAACTTACAAAAATCTTTTCAAGAAATAATACTTTGAATGTCTCTATCCCAACACAGCCTTCATTTGGAAATTTTAAATCAAGTCAAGATTTTTCTGTCAACATCACAAATGCAGATGTCAGTAATGCCTGTTTCTATTACAGTGTGTATAGCATCAGGGACAAAGGTAGCTCTGTTTAACCGACTTCGCTCACAAACCGTCAGTACAAGGTACCTCCATGTAGAAAATAGCAACTTCCACGCCAGTTCTACCGAATGGGGTGCTTTCACCATACACCTTCGTGAGTATAAAAAACAGATCAAATGTTAGAAATATCACCTATCAAACAAATAAATTTGTAATAAAAAGAATTTTGAGATGTGACGCGAGGCAAATGGACCATCTATATCCATCTGCTTATAAGGAATAACAAACATGCATATTAGAAGAAAACTTTCACCCTTTAACAATATGATACCAAAGAGATGCGTGAGTTTACAGACCATGTATCTCCCCGTTATTTCCTCTAAGCTATTTTAACTGCAGATTGGAATTACCATGGTTATAGTTGAATTCAACGATATGCAAATGAAATTCAATAGGAATTCTTCAAATTGTACTGTACTAACAGTACTTCAGTCACACTTTCTGAAACTGTGTTATTAATACATCTGCCATCTTTGCTTACAGTGGACGAGAATGAAGGAGAATCTGAAGAATTCACAGTTCGGGATGGCTATATACATTATGGTTCTACCATCAAACTAGTCTGCTCTGTCACAGGAATAGCTCTACCTCGCCTTGTAAGTAACATCAAACTAGTCTGCTCTGTCACAGAAATAGCTCTACCTCACCTTGTAAGTAACATCAAACTAGTCTGCTCTGTCACAGAAATAGCTCTACCTTACCTTGTAAGTAACATGAGACTAGTCTGCTCTGTGACAGGAATAGCTCTACCTCACCTTGTAAGTAACATGAGACTAGTCTGCTCTGTGACAGAAATAGCTCTACCTCACCTTGTAAGTAACATCAAACTAGTCTGCTCTGTCACAGAAATAGCTCTACCTCACCTTGTAAGTAACATCAAACTAGTCTGCTCTGTCACAGAAATAGCTCTACCTCACCTTGTAAGTAACATCAAACTAGTCTGCTCTGTCACAGAAATAGCTCTACCTCACCTTGTAAGTAACATGAGACTAGTCTGCTCTGTGACAGAAATAGCTCTACCTCACCTTGTAAGTAACATCAAACTAGTCTGCTCTGTCACAGAAATAGCTCTACCTCACCTTGTAAGTAACATGAGACTAGTCTGCTCTGTGACAGGAATAGCTCTACCTCACCTTGTAAGTAACATCAAATTAGTCTGCTCTGTCACAGAAATAGCTCTACCTTACCTTGTAAGTAACATCAAATTAGTCTGCTCTGTCACAGAAATTTAAGTTTCTTGATAGTAAAATATTTTCCAGGTATGAAAGAAGCACTTAGCAGAGCATGCTTATGACTTGTTTCTAAAGAGTCATTTAACAAGGAATATTGATTTGATAAAATTCTATGATCATCTGTGGTAATCTTTAAAAAAATATTTTTCTTTTATAGGTAATACGAAAAGTTGATAAGCAGACAGCCATATTGGATGCTGATGACCCCGTATCTCAACTTCATAAGTGTGCGTTCTACATGAAAGACTCAGAACGCATGTACCTCTGTCTGTCTCAGGAACGAATTATTCAGTTCCAGGTAAGTTTCTGTCCGACACAAATTATTCAGTTACAAGTAAATTTCTGTCAGACACAAATTATTCAGTAACAGGTAAATTTCTGTCAGACACAAATATTCAGTTGCAGGTAAATTTCTGTCAGACACAAATTATTCAGTTACAGGTAAATTTCTGTCAGACACAAATTATTCGGTTACAGGTAAATTTCTGTCAGACACAAATTATTCAGTTACAGGTAAATTTCTGTCAGACACAAATCATTCAGTTACAGGTAAATTTCTGTCCGACACAAATTATTCAGTAACAGGTAAATTTCTGTCCGACACAAATTATTCAGTAACAGGTAAATTTCTGTCAGACACAAATTATTCAGTTTGAAGTAAAATTTCTGTCAGACACAAATTAATCAGTAACAGGTAAATTTCTGTCAGACACAAACTATTCAGTTACACATAAATTTCTGTCAGACACAAACTATTCAGTTACACATTATTCAAACAGGTTTTCTGTCAGACACAAATATTCAGTTACAGGTAAATTTCTGTCATTATTCAGTTACAGGTAAATTTCTGTCAGACACAAATTATTCAGTTACAGGTAAATTTCTGTCAGACACAAATTATTCAGTTACAGGTAAATTTCTGTCAGACACAAATCATTCAGTTACAGGTAAATTTCTGTCCGACACAAATTATTCAGTTTGAAGTAAAATTTCTGTCAGACACAAATTAATCAGTAACAGGTAAATTTCTGTCAGACACAAACTATTCAGTTACACATAAATTTCTGTCAGACACAAACTATTCAGTTACACATAAATTTCTGTCAGACACAAACTATTCAGTTACAGGTAAATTTCTGTCAGACACAAACTATTCAGTTACAGGTAAATTTCTGTTCAGACACAAATTATTCAGTTGCAGGTAAATTTCTGTCAGACACAAATTATTTAGTTCCATCAGATTACTCCAAATTTATTTGTAGACTAACACATACTGCACTTTAACGTGAAGATAAAGAAAGGAAAGTCTATCATATGGTCCGTTGATCCGTGACCAATAGATTTTCATGGTCCTTGATCCGTGACCAATAGATTTTCATGGTCCTTGATCCGTGACCCATAGATTTTCATAAACAGTCGCTTTATTTACTTCATTATATCCTCTTAATTTGCCTGTTTAAAAATTTAAATTTTGAACTAGCATGTGGTCCACTTAAAGACATAAACAAGGGATTATTATTAGGGAAACGTTAATTGCAGTTTCGTTCTGTGCATAATATTGTTAAGATATGGATAATTACTTTAACAATTAAGCTTTTAGCTCATGTCTAAATATATTGGTTTCTGTTAATAATTCAACACTTCAGAAAACTCAGGTTCATTTCAGAATAATCATTTACAGAAGAGAAAGAATGTAACATTTGTGATCAATATGTGTACTGGTACAACTTTGTAGTGAAAAAAATCCAAAAAAAATACTTATATATACACAATAATGTAACAGTTAGGTCCCAACTATCAGTAGAAAGGGTTTAATTGATTAAATCTGATGGATCAGCTTTCCTAACATTCACAGAATATGATTGACTATATAAATATTGAATCATACAGTACTAATATATTTTTAGTCCATCTGATTGTTTGCTGTCTAGTCATGAGTGGTCGAGCACATTATACAAGAAATCTCTTTAGAACCCGTTACTATCCACTGAAAATAAAACTGAGGATGATTATTAAATAAGAAAGATGTATGTGGTTCGACTGTGTTGCAAGGTTCATCTTGGATGTGACATGGATATAGAATAATTATGAATAATGTTTTATAGGTTGTAAAAATATGAAAATGAAAAGTATTGAAAGTGTGTAATAAAACCATTCAGAGGAATTCCATTCAGTTATTAACATATAAGTTAGAATAAACAGTGTCCTATCTATGAGTGAAGAAACTGATATACCATATAGATATATATATATAATTATGTTATTGTCTACCTTCAAGGCCACGCCCTGTCCAAAAGAACTTAATAAGGAAATGATAAATGATGGAGCTTCCTGGACGATAATCAGCACAGACAAAGCTGAATACACCTTCTACGAAGGAATGGGACCGGTCAAGAGTCCGGTCACCCCTGTACCTGTGGTCAGTACTTTACATGTAAGTACCACCTGTGAGATGATTGGATTGGTCATTATTTTACCTGTGGTCAGTACAGGTAATCTATTTTAGAACACTGAAATTTTTTTTTTTTTATTTTTGGGGTTGTTACGCCTCCCCATATATATGTTAACATTTGTGACCATTGAAAGATGGGCACACAGCTTTTTCTCTAACTAAAAAATGAAAGTTTGGCTAAATGTATGTCATTGATATTGGTGTTTGTTGGTAAGTATGCTGCTGATTATATTGATGTTGTTGGTATGTTTACTGAAGCTGCAGTTGCTATTAGCAACCAAGACTATTGCTAGATAATTATGGTATGTAAGTTTTGGGAATATGAGGACTTTCAAGAATCTAGTTTAGTACCAGCAGTTTGATATTTGGAATGGTTCCTTTCACAGTTAAATGGTGGAGGTGATGTAGCCATGCTGGAATTATCCGGGGAGAATTTCACTCCTGCATTAAAGGTCTGGTTTGGTGATGTGGAGGCAGAGACTATGTTCAGGTTAGTATAAGACTATTGAACAAAATAATTAGTTTTCATAAAGTCTATACTTGATAAACTTCTTGGGTCTTAACCACATACCAACAATTACAAGTCAGATACCTGAACCCTGTCAATCAGGGGTTTTTAAAGGGAAATGTTGTTTTTACCTGACACCAACTATAGACATGAATGTAGACTTTGGTATTTAGATGATATCTCCCAATTTAAGTACATTAAAAAGTATTGTAGATCTGCGGAGATAACCCACTGATACCTCCATCTAATCCCACATATTTGTGACTTAAGAATTTGATTTTATCTGTACAGGTGTGAGGACACAATGTTCTGTGTGGTACCTGACATATCTGCTTTCAGGGCGGGTTGGCGGTGGGTACGACAGCCCCTACAGGTGAGTTAACATGGAGGCTTTCTCCTTACCCTGCTTAAACTGTGTAATACATTCTAGATTTCAGAATGTTGATAGAGAATATTTTTCATTCCGGAATGAATAAATCCTGACTTATATAATCAATAGAGAATATTTATTAATAACATTTGGCTGTAGTTTGATGTAAGGGTTCATGTTAATGTAGTTGTGTTCCATTAATGTGGCTTTGTTCACAAGAAAAATACAGTCTGAACATGTTTTATTCCACATTACACACCCATATCTAATTCTATTTTTTTAATTTTTTTACAGGTACCTGTTTCTCTAGTGCGATGTGATGGTATAATATTTTCTACAGGGTTGACTTTTACATATACGCCCGAGCCGGGCCCCCGGCAGGGTTGTCGGGAAGTGGAACGCATCATCCACGGTCGCACCTCAAGTCCCGACTCAACCTCACATTACAACCTAATGGAAGATGCCATTAATAGGACTTCCCACTGACACAACGGACCGCTGTATGATATTATAAACACACCTCCAGTGAGTTTAATACATAGCTCTACGATCAACCACTGTGCGAAACGTCAGCAACTGTGTTTCAGTGATTAGTGTCTATGTAGTTCAAAGGTCAACGACCACATAGTGTTCACCTGCTTTTGTCAGAAACAAAAAAAAACAAATTTTGTGGTCCTTTGACTCCAACGCACATGTGTACCTGTGTGCTACAGACAATGTTATGCTGAGCTCTGATTGGCTGCAGTGACGTTAAATCACCAGGGAGATTATTTTCTGTGTTCGAAAGGAAATATTAGATATGGAATATCCTGGTGGAGGAAGGATTTGATAACTTGATAAGATTGACTCTTGTTAGTTCTCATGCTCTTTGTTACATAGTGCTAATTTGCTTTGTAAGAATTTGAAAATGTTAGTTACCTCCCTTTTATAGTTTCCATGGGTACCGTGAAAATCCTAGCATAGTTTCTGTGGTATCTTTTTAATACCACCAATTATGTTTTGTTATGAATCAAGTGACCAGGTGGAATTAAGAATTCATCAATCCATTATCATTAATTATCATACAGATATAATTACAGAAAACAACTTTTTATCATTCATTCATGATAAAATCTTACGTCTAAAAGTCCCTGTTCTTATGAAAGCCTTGGTTTTAATGTCTTTTTATCTGAGAAAATGGATATTATAATTATAGTGAAAAGATTGTCTAAAAAGATGAAATTTTCCAGACAAAATAAAATACTTCTATTGATACTGCATGTGCCCTGGTATAGCATCACACTTCTGACTGACCTGGCAGCTTTATACATAGTCCTACAAAGAATGATGTGGTATAAGATATCTGCTAACTTGTAAACATGTGTACTATCAACTCAATTCTTCATTGAATATGTACTTTCACCTAAAAGTTAACTCTATTTTTCATGGTATTCGATTAACTATTCAAAACATTTGATAATATTACATCTTTTTGAAAGTTGTTCTGCATAAATACATTACATTACTTCAAATAGAGAACTAACTCGTACCTTTTATCAGGAAAGTAGGAAAATTGGTCAAGATGAAGACTAACCTCTCAATTAAAAAGTATAATTGACTGTGAGATTGTCAATTATGACAGTAGGATATTGTAGAGATCTGTGTGATTATGCTAATGAGACTGCCTAACTGTAGATATTATTACATATAATAATAGAGTTTGTTATAGGGAGTCTAGTATTACTTCAGTGTGCCAGTATATACTGTATTTATCAAGCAATAAGCCTGTGTTTGGTAATAAGCCCACCCATGTCTATATTTGTTAGTAGAATCACAAACTAATGCATTTTGTCCCCTGACTTAACTCTGTCCCCTTGGTCAGGTGAAGTGGTTCCCTGGGGCTTCTTTCAGGATATATACAGATAGATGTGTAGCCATATAAATCTAGAAATAGTTCTGTACAATATACAGTTATACCAGATATGCAATCTCTACTTATATTTACTGAATAAGGATAAGGCATCTGAAAACCAGTGTGTTGTGTCAATAATGAAGATAAAGCCACATGTTTCTGACAGATTGGAGATGTACTGCTGGACAAGAACTTGTTTTCTTGTTTTGATTTATCAGTGTGAAAACAGCAGGTGATTTTGATTTGTTTACATAAAGTAGAAACTAATTATATACAAAATTTGTATTTGAAGATATAAGATATATTTCTGTACATTTGAATAGGTTTAGAGATATTTTTGACAACTTTAATTTTTTTTTTTTTTTTTTTGATTGAATGAAAACCAGCAAGTGCCAGGTTAATATTTTGTAACATTGACCTCACAAGCAGTCAGTACATGTACAAACAATCATTTGTTGTGTTATACTGTTTGGACAATACTTTTTAAGTGTCCTGACATAAAAAGAGAATTCATTCTTAATTTCTTTGGTCATAATATTCTTCTTAGCTTCAGTGAGTATTCAGATTCACAGAAACCATCGGAGACAAAATTGTGTATATTTATAAAAACAAATCATACTATTTTTTCCCACTTTTGAACACTGGACATTTGTACTAGTGTGACTATATTATTAGTCATAAATGTGATAATTCTTCTATCAGTATATTTGCAAAGCGACCACCTTTAACCTTGTTACTTGGAAGACGATTTGAAATACCTGTTCACTATTTCCTTGATTGTCTGACGACCATTTGAATCACCAGCTTTGTCCATTCATTTAACTTTTCAAAATTGAAATAAGTACATCGGGTTGTATGGGTAAGTTTATCAACCGCAAGTGTAAAAAGATAGAATTATTGTTATAGTGTGTTATAGATTGTTTGGGCTAATATAATGTATGAATTCAAATGCACCATCTGATTAAGCCTACTATTTATATACAAATTACCTTTTAATGAAAAATGTCAACAATATTTTTGTACTTTCTTTGAAAATCCCAATATTAAAAGAAATTAGATACATATATTTATATCTCAGGCCTCATTATCATTGTCAAAGGTGAAACAAACATTATCGTATAATAAAATTGGAGGAGTATTTTTCATAAAATGTATTTAAGAAGTTTGTCGCTGTTGGGAATTGAAATATACTTGTTAGGAATCCAAATAAGGAATATGTAGTATTCTACTGCAGTACAACATACTTATTTTTTCGTCCCAAATATCATGTATTACTCTGAAAAGTTAACATTACAGTTCAAATTCAAGCTACAAACAGCAAAGTTGTCTGTAATAAATAATGGCTTAAGATTTAGAAAAATATAGTTTTATTAAAAAAAAATCACCATCCCAATTTACTCACTTTGAGTTTAACAAAACACCATTTACTCACTTAGAATTTAAAAAAAAAAGGACAGAAGAGAGAAAAAAAACACCTTTATGTACAATTTGTAGCAAATTACTAAAGCATTATGTTGCGGAAAATGTAGACAGTTTTTTTAAATTAGGGCATTTATTTTTTTTAGTTAAAATGGTCTTTTATATATCCTGTTATAAACTGCTATTTTTTTTGCTTTGTTATGTTGCTGCTGTGGTCACAAATCTTGTTCAAGATATTAAAGAACCCTACTTTGTAAAACTGTTGATTACCTGGTACATAAATGCTTTTTACTGGGGTAATAACCACAATATGAAATGCAATCATGAAATGTTTATGTTTAAAATCTAAAAAATTTAAACAAATTTTCTCTTCCCAAATAAACAAAAATCTGAATGCATACATTTAGTTAACTCACATATTTATTCTGGTTTTATTTATTCTAATTGATGTCGTTTAAGATTGTGGAAGCTTGTTAGTTTTCAATAATACATGTCAAGTTGGATACACTTATACTTGCACACTGTAAAAATAGTATTCAACATCACCTACGTGTGCTGTGATAACAACACACTGTGTTAACAAATCATTATACCTTATCATCACTTCTAAAGTATATTATTTCTGACTTCAAATTTCATTATTTGAATAACTTTTGCATGGGAATAATTTTTTATCCAAGGAGTAAGTGATGAATTCTATGACTGAAGGGTAAATTTTGTTGTTTTTAGAACCTTTGTAACATGCTTAAATACATAGTTTTTACAAATAAAACATTCTAGCTAATTCAGAATGTCATGTATTGGTACCCACATTTATATTAAATATAAACCTCTTACACAAATTGCTGTAGAGTATTCATCTGATCCAATAATTCAGTACATACTTCAGATCACATATTCCATCATCACAGCATCTAATATCTTTTGTTTGGTACGATTAACTAAATTTGTTTATGTAAACATCATGGTCTAAGAGTATGCTGAAATGTAAGGTTTGGAACAGAGCTGTAGGTTTAAAGAAAAGTAGGGTATCTAAAAAACATCATATAATATGTTTAGGGGGAAAAAAATCTTAAAGATCACCTTTTTTAAATGTATTTTTCATTTTTTAGTTAAAACACACTAAAGTTGCCCACGGATAAATAAGACAGCTAATCTAGTATACACCTGGGTTATTTTTGATAATATATTTTGATATGTGTCTTCAGCATATCGGATTCATTTGCTGCTGATAAGGAATTGTGTGTCTTACATTCAACAGATTTCAAAATTGGCCAAAATTCAAATACATGTACGATGAAAATTACGTACTGTCAGCTCAGAAATCCCGTCACATCTTGTATCATTCCTCTGGCTGAGAAATGGCAATATCCATTCAAAACATATCACATTTTAAAAAGATTGTTGCATTAAAAATCCTTACACATGACAAAGTGAAAAAAGAAGGCAGCAAATTGAGAGAAGGGATTTGTTTAGTATCTGTTTTGGACAAATCAAAATAAAATGAAATTTTGATAAACCCCAATAATTGTGCAGACTTTTAAAAAAACTCTTCAGTAGATTTTTAGATGATTTGTTCTTATTTTTTTTTTGAAAAGGCAGCAGGTTTTTGGCATTTCAGTATCTAAAGTATGGATTTTTTCATGTGTACATACAGGATTGTTTCGGTAATATTTCCATGTTATAACTGTTTATCTGTTCATTTCTTACGAAAACATAGCTAAAGGGACATAACTGTAGTTGTTGAGTAAAGTTGTCGGTAATCTTACAGCTAAAGGGACATAACTGTAGTTGTCGAGTAAAGTTGTCGGTAATCTTACAGCTAAAGGGACATAACTTTAGCTGTCGGTAGAACACGTGCACAATATTAAATTATCGAATACTATGAAGATGTTGAGCTATTGTTGGTTTTTATTAATTTTTCCATTTTGCCAAAATTGATGTGCTTCTTATTACATGTATTATTTATATGTTTATTGTGCTTTTATTGTTAATTTTGTCATTTTCCTAAAACCAGTAAGAATCTATTATGGCTCTCTTCTGCTGCAGATATCAATGTGTATATAGTGTACATTTTGTACTATAATACTGTATTTCTTTATATAAATATGTAAATATAACACTATTTTTTCTGTCCTAAAGTGCCAGTATAATTTTTGAAAGTGAAAACATTGATGGGTTTATGAACTTTGTCACAATAATGAGATATATGTTTTATTGAACCAAAATTTCAGGTATTATGTAAATGTATGTAAATAAATACAAACTACTTCACCTTCAGTTAACTTCCTGTCTTTTTTCACCAGCCGTCTATTCTGTGAATTAAAATATGTAATTTATGAATTTGTGCCATGTTACGTATCTGGTGTCAGTTTTCATGTCCACTGGATCATTTAGCATTGTTAGCTTTCTACTCGGCTTGGCATGTAATAATAGGGGCGTGGCTGATGGTACGGAAACATCAAGTTTGTTTTTAATGAAGATGATTTTACCCCCGTGACAGGAGGGGCATGACTGAAAGTAGGGAAAATATCTAGTTTGTCTTTAAATAGGTGAGTGTACCCACGTGACAGGAAGAGCATGTCTTTAAAAAGTAGGGAAAATATCTAGTTTGTCTTTAAATAGGTGAGTGTACCCACGTGACAGGAAGGGCATGTCTTTAAAAAGTAGGGAACATATCTAGTTTGTCTTTAATAGGTGAGTGTACCCAAGTGACAGGAAGGGCATGACTGATCGTAGGACATCCTCATGTTTGCCATCAATAAAGGTGATTGTAACTCAGTGAAAGCTTAACAGTATAGCAGATAATTATGAATTACAAAAATTGTCCGTTTCATATTTAATAAAAAGTACACGGAAAGCCAAAACAGTTGGAAAATATTTTGAGCATAACCGAATTCCTGGTTGATAATATCATTGTTAAAAGGATTGCTATATCCCCTAAAAGTCTTTTAAAATACCAATGGAAACTAACGGCCCCTCTTTTGTGCCAAATAGCGTAAGGACTGTTGATTATGTCTCCTTATTAAAAGATAAATGTTTCATCGAATATACTCGCCATAATTGGAAATCAAAGTCAAGATTGACTTCTACATCAGTGGTGGGCTTATGTCGATCTTTACATTGAACACAACCAACAGTTTTAGCTTCCCACTAAACGTTACGATTAGGGTGATACATTTCAATTTCCCTTGTGTGAATTTTCCATTTGTAGATTAAAACAGCCCTGCGTCCCGAATGTAAGGGTTTTTTTATCTGTCGCGACTGATTCTATAATCTATGGTTTGTTTCCAATTCTACAATATCTGTGTAAGATATTCACAGCTAACAGCTTACAGCACAAGGATTCGAGATATGCAGGTTGATGAAAAGTATAGCCAAGTGTTTCGTATCTGTTTTGATGTTATTGAGAAATCTATTTTCTTGGTGTATTAAGAAGGTAAGTGTGCTTGATGCCCGTTAATATGTATGGTGGTTTCATTGCTGGTCACGTTGTTCTCATAGGAGAAAGTAGCATTAATTCCTCGACAAATTTGCAGCTCGTGTGTTGCTGAAGAAGAACGTTATTGCTGGGGACGACGACGCTTACACTTGCGGAACATCTGGTATACTTTTGTCATTGTTTCACAGGTTTGAGCTTTGAGGTAAGATTTTGCTGACGTGTCAGTATTTTCCTGTTGTTATATGTAGTGTTTTACATGATTCACTATATCGAAAATGAAATGTCTCTCCGAGTCAGAAAGCCATTAGTTACATGGATCTTTATCCAAAATAAACGACATAGGCTGCAATATCAGGGCTACGATTTCAGTTTTCCTACTGTTTAATACCAAATTCTTGAAAGTGTGACAGGATGATTCAATATTCTAGAGAATGTTTCTAATATAACGACTTACCTGATGAATGACGACCGTTTGTTAGGGAATCCTGATTAATTAATGCAGATTAAGTGAAGATAAATTCGACTTTCATTGCTGTGTTTGTTGGGTTTTTTTCCATACAAGGTGTCGTTGCTGCTTACTAGATTTCACTTTTGAACATAAATTACACAGGTTACTTAGACGGATAAACTTTATATTGTCTGCGAATTATTCAAGGATCTGTTACTGTTGTTCATAGTTTACATCCATTTCACCCATTTGACTTCAAGTTGCACGTCTTAATTTTCTCCTGTTTAAAATCACCATCATTTTATCTCTGCATGAAGCAGAAGACTACTCGTTCGAAACACCTGGGCCTGTATTCATGAAACCATTCTCGTGCTCAAGCATGAATTTTGTGCTCAAGCAAACTTTTTATAATTCACTGAAATCACATAAAATTTTACAAATGTCAAATTTAAACCTTGAATATATCTTTGACTTGAAGTCCTTTCAAAATCTATGCTTGAGAATGATAAAAGTTTCAAGAATAATGTTTATTATATCTCACATGTATGTATAAATTCTCCATTGAAGTCGTGATATCGACCTTCAAACCAATAATCTTCATCCGCCTGCATCTCCCACAGGCTTGTGCTCCTTTCACGGAAATCATAATATTGAGATAAAACAGATATCAAATCCACTGCTACCTGTATACATTGTAGATCATGGGAAACAGACGAGTTACGGAATGAAGCGTTAATTTTCGCTGTTAGATGCTTGTAATTATGCCTGTTGGTTCTGTTGTTGTTTACCTTGTACTCATTTGTGAACGTGACATACTTAAATCGGTTGGCCTAGATTTACATGGCGGATGTCGTCAATGAAACAAAAGGGGCTTACCCTTATGGAACAGCTGGTCTTATACTCCTTGTACTTTTTTTCAGCAGTCTTCGTGTAAATCTTTCTTTATTTTGTTCTTATGTTGCCATAGTCTCGAATTTTTGTTTGAATTAGGATTATGTTGACATGTCGGTTTTTTTTTTTTTTTTTTTAATGACGGTGGGCTCATTCAAGATAAATCACGACTTAATCCCGTCATTTTTTAGCTCACATACTATTTTGTGTGTTTCATTTCGGTATTTTCACACAAAATATGGGAGGGAGAAGGTTGACATTGAAAATAAAGTGCTTTGTTTGAAGAAAGTCGGATATCTTTTAGGATTTGTGTTTATTTTTATTTAGGATAATCTCCCTCATTTGATAGTATCAATAATTACCGTGTAATCTAGATAATGACTTGGCTGAATAGCTGACTGACTGAGACAAGTGCGAGAATATCGTTATCGTTTATGGTTGTGTGAGAAAGATGATACAATTGTTTCGTTATCTGTTAAAATCTTGTCTTCCACAAACAAGTGTACCAAATGGATCCGAAGATATTTCATTTATTCTTTCTGTATTCTTGCTAGGGTACCAGGTTTTGCTAATATTAAAACTTGGCTGTGTTGGTAGTTTCTTTGTTTTAGATATACAGGTAGATAGTTAACAACCAATAGATTCTGACAGCTTGACTGAGAACAATCCATGGTAAACAGAATTACTATAATTAGTGGAGACAGTGAGAAAGAATATTTTTTTAATTTCTATCCTTAATATTATATGTCATTCTCATACCTCACACAGTGAAATTCACTTTTGCTAAAAAACAGTTAATCTTTCCCCATATTTTAGTGACTGCACTAACTATGTATTTTTAAACACATTCACAGTTAAAATTTATATTTTTAAAGAGAGAATCTTCCTGACTACATGGATTTCTGGGATAATCTAATTGACAATATGCACGCATTGTGTATTGTACAGTTGATTTCTTATTTAAATTGCTTCAATGTTTCCTTCATAACACGGTCGGCAAGGCCAACGGAAAGTTTGACTTATCTCTTCATCACGTGGAAGTATTTGTTCAACCTTCGAGATTGCAAATGTTAAAAATTCACCTAATTTTTCTTTTGTTAATCAATATATCTAACAGCAGAAGTGCAAATCTTGCACAGAGCAATCGTGTCATAACGTTGTAGGAGTTACCTCCCTTTAGTCATTTTTTATGTAATGAAAATCTGGAAACAACACGGATCCTTATGTCGAGGTTATATATATTTTGTTTAATCTGAGGTGACAACAACCTGGAATCTCAAACTCTGAGATTGAAGTATATTGTCTAAAGTAGCAGCAGACAGGATCCTCTCACTTATAGTATTTTTTGTCTAACATGTCAACAATCTAGAATCTCAAACATTGAGATGTAATCCAGTTTTTGTCTGAAGTGACAGTTGTTTAGGCTCCCTTTCTTCGGAGTTGGAATTCATTTTTTTCTCATGTGACAACAATTTGGAGTCACCTACAAGAATACTGTAGTGAAGTTTATTTCTGAGGTGATAAAATACTAGGGTCCTCTCACATCGGGGTTATATTAGCCGTGTTTTTGTATGAAGTGACAAGAGTCTTGAATATCACACATTGAGATTGTAGTATTGTTTTTGTATGAAGTGACAAGAGTCTTGAATATCACGTATTGTTTTTGTATGAAGTGACAAGAGTCTTGAATATCACACATTGAGATTGTAGTATTGTTTTTGTCTGAGGTGACAGTAGTCTGGAATCTCACACATTGAGATTGTAGTACTGTTTGTCTGAGGTGACAACAGTCTGGAATCTCACACATTGAAATTGTAGTATTGTATTGTCTGAAGTGACAACAGTCTGGAATCTCACACATTGAGATTGTAGTATTGTTTTTGTCTGAAGTGACAACAGCCTGGAATCTCACACATTGAGATTGTAGTATTGTTTTTGTCTGAAGTGACAACAGTCTGGAATCTCACACATTGAGATTGTAGTATTGTTTTTGTCTGAGGTGACAACAGTCTGGAATCTCACACATTGAGATTGTAGTATTGTTTTGTCTGAAGTGACAACAGTCTGGAATCTCACACATTGAGATTGTAGTATTGTTTTTGTCTGAAGTGACAACAGTCTGGAATCTCACACATTGAGATTGTAGTATTGTTTTTGTCTGAAGTGACAACAGTCTGGAATCTCACACATTGAGATTGTAGTATTGTTTTTGTCTGAAGTGACAACAGTCTGGAATCTCACACATTGAGATTGTAGTATTGTTTTTGTCTGAAGTGACAACAGTCTGGAATCTCACACATTGAGATTGTAGTATTGTTTTTGTCTGAAGTGACAACAGTCTGGAATCTCACACATTGAGATTGTAGTATTGTTTTTGTCTGAAGTGACAACAGTCTGGAATCTCACACATTGAGATTGTAGTATTGTTTTTGTCTGAAGTGACAACAGTCTGGAATCTCACACATTGAGATTGTAGTATTGTTTTTGTCTGAAGTGACA